ATAGTCATCCGTCATCGAGGCAGAGAATACCGCCGTCTTTGAGCCCCGGAGGTTTTCGACAGGAATACCAGCTAAGAATGAACCATCAGTAGGATAACTTCATATTATCAGATTCAGTCTTACCGTTTTCGAAGGCACGGTAAGATGTCTCAAGTGTCCATCGCTGCATTGGATCCATGGAAGCTGCTTCCCTTGCTGTGACTGAGAAAAACGGAGCATCAAAAACCCCTGGATCTTCCGTTATGAAATTTCCACCTCGACATTGAAGCTAAGAGAGTATTAGTCAACTCGTGCTGGTCTCAACATGAGAGTACACAAGCCTTATTGAAACCGGTTGACTCGACAGATCCCTGACTCATACGCGACTCAGGCCAATCTGTCATAAGATTCTTTCGATTCTCGAGAACATCCCAAAAGCTGGCAACATCATGGACATCTTGAGGCAACTTGAAGGAGAGCCCAACGATGGCAATATCCTCTTTCATGGCGGCTAGTAGTCTTCACGGAGATTTGGAGAGTCTGAACAATAAAACTAAATCTTCACACAAATACGAAACTTGTGTGAAGGCGAATTTTATAGCAGAGCAATGTCAAGACAAAGCTCTTCTTACTATAATACCGTTCACAGATCAGTGGTCCTTGCCAGGCGATGTCTGGCATCTATATAATAAGCTTCGGCGAAAGATCCTACCTTTGTACACCGTTGAACACCATACACGATTGGGTCCACGGTAGTCCAACCCCTCTCAAGCAGCGGGTTTTCTGCAGCCGACAGCCAAGCAGCTTGCTACCTTAGTCAAGTGATTTCCTTCACCTAAGTGCTTGAACTCTTCCGATATGCAGTAGTGTGGTATTCTCTTGCTTGACTACACTAGGTTCCTGCAGTAGTAGGTTGACAGCTTCACCTCCTTAGCCCATATACTAGGTCAGGTGAGGGGAAAACAGCCGGCCTCCGATGAAGGTATCGGTCGTCCGTCGTCCTTCTCCTCTACCTAATGGAAGGTAGATCCTGTAGGCTGGTATCGGTGGAGGAACACTCACAAGACGATAGGCAGGGATGACGGAGACGATGACACCGGCGAGAACTGTTGATCTGACGGCACCATATTGACCCACCGAGCTGGTCAGGGGTCGTTGAGGCAATTTTTTGAAGCAAAGCGATCACATTGTCAGGCGAAGTTGATTTCGCTTTTGACACGACAGATAGATTCGACAGCTTACGTACATGCAACCTCTCTATCCCTTCAGGACACAAACTGGTACATGATACACATAAGAACAATTATGCCAGCATCTTAGTGCAGTGTTGGTGTCTGAATATTACTTTCACTTCTCCATGCCGTCATGTCAGTCGATATGGTGTGGTCAGGTCAAAATGTACATCGTACATGAAAACCGTTGCCACGGGCTCGCATTAGATTGAGCCAGCTGCGCTGGAGAAATGGTACACGACACTACTGGTCAGACGGTCCACTGTGGTGGGCGTGCAAGGATCCTGCAGGAGAAGTCAACGAATCCGGTCAAGGGCCCATACTAATTCGAGCAAAACAAGCGATTACATCCGTTCACGCACAAGCCACAGCTGTACTATGTAAGAGTGCCGCCCCTCAGTTGATGTCCTGACCCGAGATATTACGGATCAGCCCGCCGTCAGTGCGCTATCGCCTTGTGTCCTGTTGGTTGGCTGAGATGGAGCCCCATTGAATTATTTCGATGAACCGAGACATTGGATCCTCTTCAGAGCTAATCGAGAGGAGAACATGCATGCATGAGGCAAAGATGCAACGTCTGTTCGCTCTGCAACGCCAATCCCGGCTGCTCGGAAAATCCAAAGCGAGACGAAGATGACACTGAAAGCGGACAGCAGCTCCCACTTGGCGACAATGCAGGCACATCCTTACCGACTTACGAGTCACCCCGGGCGAACTTGGAAAGCTAGGAGAGTTCACAAAATAACTATCTACAATGAACTAATTGTGCCGATCGGTCGGGCGTTATTAGACGACACACTATTCAGCCGAGACCAGAGAGGAAGGTGTTACATTACGTGCTCAGGATGATCAGAAGCCTACCGGGTGCGGAGGCATCGGCAGGTGCTCTAAGCGGCCCATGAACCGTTGAAATTGCTCCACTTTCTATGGATGATAGGAGATGAAACAGCAAGGATCTCAAAATCCTTTCTGTCCGGCACATCTTATAACAGAAGTTGTTACCAATTTACCAAGTAACGACCGTACACAATGCATGAGCCGCCGATCCCGCCGTGCCCGTGTCCACGGTACGGGTAGAACAGTTGGTTGACTTGTCCAGATAAGGAGGCCTGAGGAGTTCTTCCTGGAACGTTCTAGACTAGGGTATTCTCAGCTACTCAGCCATCAGTCATCCTTTTCCCAAAATCAGCAACTAGCGGCAGCATTCGAGTCCGTGCCAGCCTAGACTATCGGTTCTTTCCCTAAGTAGTAATTGTGACTTTGTCCACACAGTGATAGGCTTCAAATGGTCGGCTGCATTCTCGAAATGATAATCTCTTGCGAAATAGAAATGCTCACATTGCACGAAGACAGGGACATTGTTAAACAATGCTTTATATAGCTGCTCTGGGAGTGGACGAGTTCTCAGTATGGAAGATGAAGTGACTGAAAGAGCACACCGTATGGTTGTCGCAGATTGGCAAATTAACATCAGTTGCAGGCAAGAGAGACACAATATCACCAAGGATAAAATGCCACGCAATGCATGATTAGGTGACAATCGCTAATTAGGCTCTCGTCTTTTCTATGGTCCGCTCAATTGCTCGCAGAGTTCCAGCCATTCCTTTATCCGACTTCGCTCCTGGAACATCATGGCCCAGATCATGATGGAAAATTTCTCGACAATCCTTATCACAAAACTTTGCCAAGGACTCGTGGACTTTCAGCTCTTCAGCTGTTGCCACGGATGACCAAATATGTGCAGTTGGAATATTTATTGGTACATCATCCACAGATGGATCGATATGCTTGAGGACTCCTGTCCGAAGAGCAGCAGGATCAAAGGGTGCTGCCGCACTGAAAAAGACAGCACATTTCAGACCGCCGAAAGATGCATTCTTAGAGTCTTCGATGAGAATAGTAGCGGCTACCGTACCACCTTCTGAGAATCCAATGAGCCCATCGAACGGGCCGTGGCTCTCTGTCACGTCTAACAAGCCTTGTAGCAGCTCCTGACGCTCACTTATATCGTCTCCGACAAAGCCATAGAACTCATCAGCAAGAGCAGCGGCCCCTTTTATCAATCAGCTTCCGTAATTGAATTGCTGGAAACGAGAATCTCAGAGAGTATTACGAACCTAGGTCAGGCTCTGTAACCACTGTTCCATCGATGAAGATGAATTCATGATCCTGACCAAGAGCTTCGCGAATTCTAGCTAAATGATGGTTGGCTAGATCAGGTCATCCATCCAAAGTTATCAGCCAAGTACCTGTTTGTAGTTGGAATATCTTGCACATTTCATCAGTCGAGTACCATTATCACATGCAATTTGCTATCACGTACTTTGGCATTGGTGCCTCTACCATGCAAACAAAGCCACCGCATTTTGCACAATTGTAGATCCGAATATCGCCTGCGACGCTGGCAAAAGGAAAATATATGATGGACGAAAGTCGTTATGCTACGTAAGCTGGGGTCATCAGTGACTAGGTCGGATGAAATGTTAGCTTTCGAGCATCAGCCCTGTTCAAATGGTAATGTCAAGACCAGAGGCGAAATTACTGACTGGGCTTTTATGCCGGGACGAGGGTTTCCAAACTAACATGGTCAATGCGTCGCTTGTGGCGCAGTTAGGAAGCTAAAAAGGGCCAAGATGCTCCGGGAAGGACCGTTGACAACCTGACACAGACTAATTGGCCCTGTGAAGATCACTGCCGTGTTCTGTTAGTCTATTTTCAACGTTTTTCCCGGGGCATCTTGCAAGCCCTGTCGGAAAATGTTGCAAGGATGTATTCCTCAGAAGTATCCTGCAGCTTCTAGGCAATAAGATTAAGCACATGCTAATTATATGCTGAGCCTATTTCAACGCGAAATATTTCTGTGAAGGAGATTGCTAAGCGGTGTTCGGTGTAGTACTAGTACCTGAAGTGAGGTGGTGAACAATGTCATGAAATCCAACCCGCTGGTCTATTTTTCGTCGTGAGCCGTTGCCAAGGCTCTCTTAATCCCCGTCATGCATTAGCTTCATCTTGGCAAAAACGGCGAGTTTGGCCTGTCTTGACTAAGTTCGCTCTAACCTACGGGAGTCGGGCCGCGGTTCTAAGGCCTTTCTCGACTGGCGTATGACCTGATACAAGGGCTTGTGAAGTTTTCTGAGCTCCCAGACAATTCAATTCCCAAGGATTATGAGACTAGGCTGAGTTTTAAGACACTTTCGGTTTGTCTGGAAGCTGACACTTGACTGCAGTGTTACCAAGAGATACGAAAAGTTATGCAAGGTCCTGTCTTGGCCTGCATGCATGACGCTAGACAGAAACAATGCCCCTGGGAACTGTACGGCGGTGGCGGGTAGTTCACGAGTTCCTTTCTGTTTAGGCCATACTTATCTCCTGCGCCAACCAATAGATATGCAGGAGAATGGGGCACGGTCGGTCCTCGTCGGGGTTCTCCCGCGTCGGCAGCCCTCTTGCCCCTGATATGAGTGTTTTTAGGTGATTCGAGCCAGAAGGCTATGTCTTGGGCTCTGATGAAGAGTCCAGGAACAGGTGATGCTCCTAGGTCGGAGGTTCGCTTGAAAGCAAAGCGGAGAATGGTTCGTGGGACTGCCTGGCGAGCTGGGGAAGTCGATTACCCCACGACGTCCTGATCTTAGTTACACAAGAAACTCATCAGTCACAACATATTTCGAGATCGTTGCAAAAGAGTCTGACTGTAGATTAACTTGTGTGAGCCGCCATCATAACTAGATAGAGATGCATCATTAACGAATATAGAAGAGACAGTCCAAAAGCCATCATCTATCCGTAGTTATGCCGAAACAGGAAATATTTCACCTCCATCCATTAGGGTGGGAACAAGATCCTGAGGAAGAGAGGTTCAAGTTCTCAACACTCGATTATCTACCGGCGTGTGTATACAATAACTACGTCCTGTTCTTTCGACTAGATGACGGGAATAAGAGCAATATGGTTGCCCTTCTTAAGGCAGGTCTCGAGCGGACTCTTAGCCAGGTAAGACATCTCTGCGGGACTGTCGAGAAGGACGCAGCAACAGGCAGTCACTCCTTTGTGAAGCGCAGAGATGGTACTATTCAGTTCCATGTGCAATGGCTCGACTCACCTCAAGAAGATCTGGGCAACAATCAAACCTACCCATCTTTTGATGAGCTCGAGTCCCAAAACTTCAGCTCCACAGTGTTAGGTGACCTTGGGCTCTGGAGTGTCCCTCCAATGACACATGGCATCAAACCCGAAGCACATATTGATAACAGTCCGGCGGTCTCGAGTTTCAAAGCCAACTTCATTCGTGGCGGCCTAGTTTTCAACATTCACGTTCATCATTGTTCGAACGACGTCATGGGCTGGGCCGCTTTCACGCACCAACTTGCTGAGAACTGCCGTGCCATCCATGAAGCCAAGACATCCTTCTCGGCCTGGGATCCGGCCTGCCTGGACCGGTCGCGGCTGCTGAGAAAGGACGTGCCCGAGGAGGCCAAAGTCGACGGCCCTGCGCCGGGCAGGCCCCATCCGGACTTGATGCCGATTGAGCAACTTCTCTTCCATCTGCCAAAGAGCAAAGCAGCACGGCTGAAGGCATTGGCGACACCCAGTGATGGAACATCTTGGATCTCGACCTTTGACGCCTTCTCCGCCTTCATCTGGCGCACCCTGCTTCGGCTGCGCATGGAAAACTTCAAAGCCGATCCTTCAACGACCGTGCTCTGGATGGCTCCTGTCGACATGCGCAAGCGTCTGCACGACCCGCCGTGCCCGCCGCGAACACAGGGCAATGTATTCAGCCTTGTTCGGGCCACGGCAACGGCAGGTTTCGTCACGGAGGGCCCGCTCTCCGAGGTGGCCTCCTTCATCCGGCGACTTATCAACGGTGCGAGCCAGGAGGAGCTCGACAAGCGCCTTGATATGGTGGCAACTATCCGTGATAAGACAAATTTGTTCCTGCGCGCCGATACTCTGGCGCCCCTGACGCTGCTCGTGACAGACTGGCGGGCCACCAACATTGCCGCCGCCGACTTTGGCCTTGCCTCGCCTACGGCGTTCCGTCACGTCTCCGACAATGTCACACGCTGTGTGGTGCAGGTGTACCCGCCGCGTGCTGCGTTGCCAGAGTCAGATGAGGGCTGTGAATTTGCCATTGTCTATGAAAAGAGCCTCGCAAAGGAGCTGATTGAAGACCCCGAATGGAGCGAGTACTTTGAGTACCGGGGAATCGTATAATTATGTTGATAGTATCAAATTCAACTATATCTATTCATAACACTCTGTTTGCTCAGTGTCGCTGAAACCGTTATCTACACAACACGGCAGAGTTAGGATAACAAGGAGCCAGAAGGAACAAAAATGCATAAATCTCCAAGCTCCAAGCTCGTATCTCGTATCTCCCAGAACATAGAGGATCCTACCTTGAGTATTGCGAGCTCCCGACTGTTCAGGATAGACAGGCAGACACAAGATACCTCTGGTTGACATGCAGTAATGTCATTACATAAGGTAACGTTGTTCCCTGTCAACAGGAACATGAACTTCTGCGGTCTTTTCTAACATGGAGACCTGGCCCTGGACCTGGCCCTGGACCTGGACCTGGACCTAGAGCCATGGATGAGGCCGCGCGGTGATCCTTGCCCTGTATCAGGTCCGCAGTTCCATTGGTCTAGACCGGGAAGGCCCCTGCGGCGGGATTGCAGATAGTGGGGCCGCGGGGGCCACATATCTTGGCGGGTGATTGTGGAGCGGGCCCCCACATATAGTCAGGTACTGCGGGACTTTGGTGCAGTAGCTGATCCGCCCCCGGTCTGCCAAGATCTTTAGCTATGCTAGCCTTGCTAGCCTCCTGTCATGTAACATCACCTGTCGGACTCACCAAGGGAGATGCAGTAGCCTTCGCTTGGATGGATAAAGGAGCTCCACAGGAAACAGCAAACATCCGACATTCACGGATGCTCGACACCACCTGCCGGATGGATTCGAAGGAATCATCCAACGTCCACGTCATCTCCACCAAACCATCACAGCAGCCGGAACCGAGAAGAGATCAGCGTCACCCATCCATCCATCCATCTATTCATCGTGAGAGGAGCAAAACGTCAGGGGGAAAAAGACTTGTCGATTCATAGAAGTAGCTGGTGCAGGGAAAGGCCCCTTCCCTGCAGAAGATTATAAAAGTGTACTTGTATGCATTAAAACCCCCCTATTAAGTCTCCCCATCAAAACAATCGACCCCCTTCCCCTGCACGTACATCTCCTCCCCTTCCATCTCTGGTCGTTCGGCTAGCAAGATCGTCGACATTCTAGCCCCAAGCTGGATCCCGCGGCCGTTTGTGATCGGCAATGGCAACCCCACTCGAGGCTTGGGAAACCGGCGAAATGCCTTGGAACTTGCCGATGGTTCAAGTCTACTGCTCGTAGATACGGTTGAACGAGCAGCTGGACATGAGCCAATCAGAGCCGTTTCGGGTGTAGCTGTTGAAGTAGTGTCCGGCGCCAACACCCGTCACTCCCTGGGTGCTGTTGACACCCTTCGCGAGACCGGAGTAGTAGACAATCGGGAAGATGGCGTCAACCTGGTCGCAGCTGACCCAGGTGAACTCGCCGGGTCCGACGTGGTGCGAGGTCTGCAGAGTAGAGAAGGCCATGGAGAAGAAAGCGGTGAACTCAGCCGTCGAGTTCCACGAGTAGGTGAATCCGTGGTCGACGATTATCTCGTCATGGTCCTTGTAGTTGTAGGTGCAGTCCGGCCACGCCACCTCATTGAACTTCTCCCATTGATGGGTATCAGCGTAACGGGCGTACTTGAGCTTCTTGTCCTGGATGATTTGGGCAATCTCTGGCTTTACAGCAGGCATCTTGGTAGGCGTAGGCGTAGGCAAGATATCGATGGTCAAAGATGTGGTAAGATGGAAAAGGGAGGCGAGGAGAATAACGAACGTCGGGGTATACATCTTGGCGGTGTGGTGGTCCTTTTGTGGGTAGAGGATCCGGATAAATGAATGAATGGCTGAAGTTGGCTTGCAGATGTAGAACAGAACTGAGAACCAAGGGACGAGGATGGCCTGTTTTAAAGTGCTCTTGTTACATCAGTTCCTCGTGGCATGCATGGAACTCTCGGGCTTCCATTTGATTACAAACACAAGGGTTCGGCTCCGCGCCTTATTATTGTCGAATATCCCAACTTCCCCCTAAGCGCTGATTAAAATAAGGGCAAAATCTTTCTATCAAATTTCTATTCTGTGCCCAGTATAATGTGTTAAGGAAGTTGTTGTCATTTTCTTCGTGAAATAGCAGCTATCCTTGACTCCGCCAAGCGGTGAAAAACTCGGCTACAACCCTAGTTAAATACCCATGCTAGGCATCATGCCAGACCAGCTTCCCCTGGCATCTCATTACCGTACTACCCATAGCAATGCACTCAACCTGGGGTGCGACGAGCGGGGACCCTCCGAAGCCTTGTCGTTCTGAACATTTGTCGGCACTCGCGGCATCTAGTCATGAGAAGGAATCAAGAGAAGACGTTACTATACTGTAACAATTTGCTTAGTAGAACTCTTGTTCAATTTCTCACAGGATAGGACATCCAAGTAATTGTAGTATTACCTAGGTCCATGTGTGTTCTAGAAACCTTCGAGGTTGGTTTCACATGTCCTAATGATAGACATATGATCTTTATAAGGAGTAATTATCTTGGCGGGAGAAGACGGATCTGCTGACGTGTTGGGACAAACGACCGGGACCGTTGAGGCTGGTCTTCACTCGAGACGTCGGGGCTGCCCGGCACGCTCGTAAAGGGATATTTCCACTGTCTATCACAATGATTGCCACGTGCAGGGGTGACATTCCACTCAGGGGCGTCTGCTTTGGGGAATGGAGAGACTTGTAGACTTGTCGAGACTTTCTAAAGACGTTGAAATCCCAGCAGGGGGCTGTAGCATGAGAGGAAAACGGCATTGAACTAAAAGCCGGTCGAACCGCTGAAGTGAAAAGAGATGGAGCAGGTGCTGCTTTTCTTTCTCATTCGTTCCAACGTCTTATTACTTTCACCAATCACGGTCCAAAGCTCGGTTCACCTACTCACCTAACCGCCACGATGGATATGGACGGACCTGCTCTCGCGCCTCCCGAGGGAGTCACGCCAGACTTGGACAATCCAGCCAACGAAAATGGATTGGCCATGTTTGTGTTGATATTCTGCAGTGTCATCTCGACTATCTGTGTGCTTCTCCGTGGTTATGGCAAGGTGTACTTGTTGAAGAGATTTCAGCTTGAGGAAGGCTTGGTCCTATGTGCTTTTGTATGTCTTCTCCACTTTCGGTGAAAATGACATCGACATGAACACAAGCTTCGAGTACTAGCTGACGACTGATATTTGATAGGGATGTTTTTGGGGTTGCGTCTGGTCCATGTTTGGTGTCCTCAAAACACCAGGCTATTTCGTTCATCAATACGAGGTCCGTCTAGGAGACCTCATTCCGATGACCTATGTAAGTATTACTATGCTGCGTCTACTTAACACAACACACCGTAGCTAACGATTTCTCCAGTACATTTTCGTCATGGGTAACATCTATGTCGTCGTTCTGGCGCTGCTCAAGGTCGCCATGCTTTCTGAGTGGTCACGAATCCTAGTGCCACGCAACAACAGGACATCCAGTGTCTTTTGGTGGGGCTGTATGATCATGATCGCGATCCAAGTGCTAGCTTGTGTCGGCAATGTCATTGCTCTGAATGTCCAGTGCATCCCTCACCAAGCCAGCTGGGACTTCACAATTTTGGACGCGAAGTGCTTCCCCCTATACACTCTCCAGCTAAGCTCTGGTATCATTTATCTCACCACGGATATCATCATGTTCTTCATGCCTCAGCATCTCATCTGGACCCTACAGATGTCTTGGAAGAAGAGACTGGGAGTTTCGGTTGTCTTCGGCCTCGGTTTGCTGTAAGTTTTGCTCGTCCTCACAAAACAACCCTGGTTGCGAATCACAGATTGGAGGATATGAGAAGAAGATAGGGAGACTAATTTTGTGCACTTCTAGGGCTTGTGTTGCCGCCGCGTTCCGTCTTCAAGTCACAGTCGTTTACGGACACGCCACTGATGCCACATACAATCTCGGAAGCATGATTTTCTGGGTTATGGCCGAGATGACCTGCGCATTCTTCGTCGTGTGTGTGCCGACCATCCCCAAGATTCTGCAGGACACGGGCATCATTCGTAGCATCAAGCGTCGCTTTGGCCTGACAAAGACTGGACCTACTGGCGGCAGCGGATACGGCACGAAGGGAGGCTTGCCCACAAATCGATCGATCCCGACTTCCACCAGCAAGGCTTACTACATGCTGGATGAGAGTGGTGTTGAGATGGGCGATGTCAAGAGCGGATCTACCTCTTCGACTGAGCACCTGCGCCAGGAGGACAAGGACAACTCGACTGTTGCCGTTCCTGCACGGGGCCAGATCGTTCGCACGACCCGGATCACAGTGAATGAATCGGCTGAGGCTGGCTATGGCCGAAAGGAGGGCTATCCCGCGCGTTCGTGGGATTAAAGTACTTTTGAATGAGGGCGAGCGTGTCAAGATGTGAAGAACAGCCCGTGCCACACCATCACCATGTTTTCCACTTTCCCTTGTCCATAGACCCAGCAGCCACTGTTTCTTTCAGACCCTATCTCACGATAGGCATGCTATCGCAGCATAGTAACGAGCGGTATTTAGTGCGACATGTATCATATCTCCTCCATAGCCAAATCCCCAGACTCATGCCGGGTAGCAAATGAGCGATGGGGCAAAGAAGAAAAAAATGACTGGCAAGCCTAACGTGTTTTTTTGAATGCATTAAATGGGGGAATTACTCTCGAAGCAAGCGTTAATGATGTCCCAGATGCGAAGGCAGGTCCTCGATTGATATAAGACCAGCTCCTCCCTTGTGGACATGATCATGGATCTCCTTTTCTTTATCATGGCTCATCCGAGTGTCTCAGTACGCAAGCTCCGAAGTGCCAACTGTTCCCTAAGCTTTTCCACGCTACATCCATATTTTTCACACAGTGACTGCCGAGTCCGAGGTTCTAACCGAGATCTGGATTTGGCAAAGTGCTAACTCAACGAAGTCCAACAAGTGTTTATTAGACGACTCCCACCATAACAGACACGCCTTTCAGAAAAAAAACAACCTGAGACATTTCATACAACTCTCAGATTTCATTTGCTAAGGGTACTTTTTTGAATCTTCATTGTCAGGATCAATTATATGCAGAGCGAGCAACGGAACGGGACCCATCATGATGTTGTTCGAGAGTGGAGACTCAAGTACTGTCGCAATCCCAATGTGCAACCTTACTCCACCAAGATCCTATCTCTTCAACCACCGAAAAAAGGGGGTCCAAGCTCAAGAGTCCCATGACCAATCAGCTAAATACCCATCTCTTGAAATGGAAAACAGGAAATCATGTCTTATAATGGCATTTAATACTCCACATTATTTCGCCATATAATATGGAGATGTCAGATTCCTATCGAGAACAAATGTAACAGTAGATACTATATAAGCTATAGATGCAACCTTAAGGTAGTAGATGCTCCATAATGACAGAAAAGATATCGTGCTCGCCGTAAAGCATCAGAGTTTTAGGCTGAAAAACATTTGGTTCTCGGCGAAACCGATGCATTCTGTTTGACTTCGGCTTCCTGATGGAATGACTTTGGTAACACGTATATTGAGATATGGACCGAAGATTGGCTTCGTAGGTACTCGATCAATGCTGTGCGCTTGTTGACACCAAGAAAGCTTCAAAGACCCAGCCAAGATCACAGGGCGAATTACACAAAGGTTGACCCTTTAGACTATAGACAATAGATTCAAATTTCGGAGGGTAGATTTAGATTTGGGAACTTGATGTTCAGGCACGTTATATCAATAGACTGTACAAATATATATATTTCCAACAAGACTTGAGAAGCTCACGAGTGCAGCATTGTATAGTTTTGATGCTTTGTTACTGGTGTGCATGCAGAGCGGCGAGGTCCCGGTTGGACCAGTCCCGAGTGATGCGCCTTGTGGTAGGTAGTTGCAGCCATGATCTCGATAGCCCGCCACTCTCTACGCTACAGGCAACACATGTCATACACATACCAGTCAAGTACAATCGCGCTGAAGCGTTCTGACTCAGCCGCATTAGAGTGCATGGGGTGTCTAGGTAGAATGTAATCTCCTCTACCTATCAAGTATCTCGTAGGCCTTGCGTTTTCGGGACATGAGGCTCTACAAACAACAATATACTAATGCCAGGAATACCTATACAAGGAAGTCAACAACTATTCACCCAAGGTCCCCCATGTTGCTGTCAGGCTAACCTGCGATGAGGCCGCGTCATTACGCAGATACATGCCGTTTTTATAACGCATGAGGAGGCGGTCATGATCGCACTTGCTCCGATATTATGGTTTACAATGACACAAAAAGAGGCACCACTGGATTGTCCACCGAGGAGCAAGTGACTAGAATCTACTATTCAACAGGCTCTTGCCCTCTTTCAAGGGGATTTGGGATAGATAACCTTTTGCGACGAAATAATGCCATTTAAGGAGATGAAAGTGACCATCTAAGTCGCGTGTTCAACTGACACGTGTGCTTGATAATCATATAGTGGCGGGGAGTTCTATCACTAGGAATGACTCCCTTGAATATTTTGGTGATACACTAGGGTCGATGACCCTTGCCGTTCAGCTATCAAGTGCGAATGCTTCGAAGGTCCAACGCATCTCCCAAATTAAGGCCTTGGGCAGAGCTGACGGACGAGAATGTTTCATAGGAGATGTCGGTAGATTTCTTGAGAAAAACAGTGCCCACTAGCTTCTAGTTGGGCGTTGAAGACGAAACTTTCCCAGTTTATCGCGCTGCACTTGACGGATATGCGAGTAACAATATATATGGCTGATTTTGAATTTGTTTGCCTTCCGAAACGTGCCCCCATCACTCTTTGAGCAACGTCTTCGCCCACCATTTGACCTCAGCTGCTAGATACAACTTCAAGTTTTCAACCTTCTTAAACATATGTCCCTCAGCCGGTAACACCAACATGTCCACATCTCCCCCACGCTCCTCGATCCTTCGCTTAATCTCGTAGCTCTGCGCAATGGGCACCACGGTGTCGTTTTCGCCATGAATCAGCAGCAACGGCGCGGTGATGCGCTCGGCGTGAAACACCGGGCTGCGCTCGCGGAAGATCCTGTCGCGCTCATCTTTGCTCATGTCTGGAGTGAAGAGAAGACTCTCGAGGTAATGCAGCTCAAGCTTGTGCGTCTTCTCATCCAGCGTCTTGACGTCACTAACGCCGCACAGGCTGATGCCGCCCGCGAACACGTCAGGATGCCACACTAGACTCTGCAGGACGTTGTAGCCGCCAGCACTGCCTCCCTCGATGCCGACTCGATTTCGATTCACGCGGCCAGTCGATGCTAGGTAGTCGATACATTCTGGCACATCATCGCGGTCTAAGATGCCCCACTGTGTGTAAAGTGCCTCGCGATAAGCCTTGCCGTGTCCGGAAGACCCTGTGTAGTTGATACTGAAGTACGCAAAGCCACGGCTGGTCCAGAATTGAGCGATCATCTTCACCCCTGGAGGGGTGTGTCCTGTAGGTCCTCCATGAGGATTCACGATCAAAGGTGGAAGAGTCCCCTCAGGCGCGGCGAACTTGGGGTTATGAGGGGGCCAGAAGAAGCCATGGACGGTTCGCTTTGGCTCATGCTTGGAAGGGACCTCAAGATGCTCCGGGATGGAGAAGATATTGGATGGGAATGAATGAGTAGTTGAGCTACGTAGTTTGGTCTCTGTGGCCTTAAGTTTCGAGTCAAGGTCGTATCGGTACACGGCCTGGGCAACGGCATATCCGCTGCCGATGATTAAGAATGAAGTCGAGGACAAGGCAGCGAGGACGTCGAAACGCATGTCCGGGAGTGGGACGTCAAGAGCCGTCCACTCTTCAGTATTTAGGTCGACGTGAACTGTGTTATAAGCGCCATTGTCGCAATAAGTCAAGATCATTGACATATCGGATAGAAAAACAAACGATTGCCTGCCATTGTTAGCTTTTCGGATTCAATATCAGGCTCCGCGGCAGACACCAGCTTACGGTCCAATAAAGAACGACGCATCTCCAAGTTCTACATTCTCCAAGCCCTTAAGCTTGAGCGGGTGTTCCTTCTCCCCTGGTTTGATGCGGAACAGCTGCCGATAGTTGCTGCCGGTCTTCTCCTGCGTGAAATACAGCGTACCATCTGGCGACCAGCTCGTCTCGCCCACCAGTTGGCCGTCTTCTCCGGCGACGAGTTCAGGCTTCCCGACGGACCCATCATCATTGAAGTCTGCCCAATAAAGCTTCGCGTTCAGGAATGGCAAGTCGGGATGATCCCACTCGACCCAGCTCACTTTCTTGCCGTCTGGACTGAATCGTGGGTACTTGTAAAAGTCGGCGCCCTCGACGATCCTCTTCACTTCGGCCGTCTTGATATTGATCGCGACAATGTAATCCTTGACGTCCTTGGGCTCCGGGTTTGAGTGGTCTTCCTGGATTGCCAGCACCCAAGGGGTTTCAGGGTGCGGGCCAAAGTCGGCATAGCGGAGGTGAGGTGCCTTCGCGAGGGTCTTCACTGTACCCGCATCAACGTCGAGCAGGTTACATGAGGTATCCTTGGCATCTGAGAAGACAATCCGCAAATTCTCGCCTTCTTTGGATGGCAAGACAGCGTAGGGCAGGCCGCCATACTCATACACAATGGTACTGGCGCTCCACGGCTCCGGCAAGACATATTTCAGCTCCCCGCCCGGAAGCACCTCGACGATGCTGTACGCACCAGTGGGCTTGGATTCAAGAAAGAATGCTCGCCCTGTGCGGAACTAAAAGCGTATCAGTAAATGCATCAAACAGGATTATGAGTCCCCAGGAGACTGCAATGGAGGCGAGTGAATCCCGTTTACCAAGGCCGTGTCGAAAGGAAGCTCTTCTTCACTCACGTCAGTGCGGGGAGATGTTAGCGCCAGACTTCCAGCGGTCGCCGCCTCAATGCTGATCTCACTCTTCCACTCGCCATACTTAGCAACCGTTTTTGTAACCATCTTCTCGACGGCTGTCAGTTTTCCTTCATATGAGTCAAAGGTGCGAAGGCGGGGTTGCTGATGATGCTGGCGATGTCACAATTCTACCCCGCGCCTGAGATAGTTCAAGAATCCGAAGGATTCAGGACGACCCGTGTTCTTATCACGAATCGGCACGGCAGAGCCTGTATCACTGTAATCCATGTGTTGGGGTCGACGGCCCCGGTTCCTGACTGGCCGGTCGACATCACGTGATTGTATCGCCAGCACTACCGGTGGCGGGCTGGGTACCTGGCTGAAGGTCACCGCTTCCGAACCTCACTGTACCTCACGGGACTCTATCCAGATACAGAATAAAATATGGAGAGGAGACTGGATCGGAACTGACCATTTATTCGATCATTCATTCAATCATTTATCCAATCGTTAAAGTAGGAGCCGATCTAGTGATTGTTATAGTGAAACATCGCCACACACGCAGCGTGTCCCCACCATAATGACAGCTAATTCGGATATAAAGACGGTGGCTGACACACTCGTAGTCGACAATGGGTCCTAGTCATCTAGCCAACGCATTAGGAGGCTATCTATAAAGGCACGTTAGAATCAGAAACAATTCGACAATACAAACGTTATAACAACTAGAATATCTAAGCGGATAACTAAAGCTATAATAGTAATTGGGGAGGCATGTGGTATTACGCTGATTCATTCAGTGGATGATCAGTCGTGTTGACGTAAACCGACTCGTCTTGCATCATAGGAGTCTCTGAGTCGTCTTTGTTTGGATTTGTATCAGGAACCTGAGCCATTGTTTCGCCGATTCGGGAGAGATCTCAATAGGTGTTGGAAGGTGCGTGGTATGGTAAGAGATGACAGTCCCTGGAGGGAGAACACTTAGCCCCTTTATGTGTTCTCAGGCGGCAGCCCCCTAACACGAGACGTAGACCAGACGGCCACGCCTCTTTCGATATGCGGACACCCTATAATACATACTTGAGATGAATGCTGTGGGCCCCTGCTGTTGTTAAGGCAGAATTCACCCCCTGGTAAAGAGCCAGCCATAAATTATCATGAAGAATGGTAGGTGATTGGATAGACGAGTTCGCCGTTGAGTATAAGTATGGGCTGCGGTCCCCCGACGCTTCGTTCCTAACTTCTTCCTCTCTTTCCCGAACATATCATAGAGTACGTCATCATTCCATGTGTATATCTCAACACCATTCACCATGAGTCTAAAGGTGCATCACGTTGATTCGTACTTCAATCATGACTTGCAAAGTATTGCTGTTGCCCTCAGTCTAGCCAAGAAGGTAGTGGTGGTCATAGGCGCTGGTGTTAGTATAGTAGCGAACATCCCGGTATGTTGACAATGGTCCGCGTTCATCTTCCTTTCTGACTGGTATAGCACTTCTGGTCAGGAACAGGACTCTATGGGAAGGATGAAATCTTTTCTAGTGATGCTCTTAGGCACCTTGAGAAGAGATCGAGGCTATTGTCAGTCGCCTTAGAGCTTCGTCAGCGAGCAATTCAAGTAGAACCTACGGCGACACACTAATTCATTTGTACCTTATGCCACAGGGGTCAGCTTCTCCGTTGCTATACTCAGAATATTGATATGCTAGAAGCTAAAGCAGGCCTGCAAACCGACATCGACTGCTGCAAACTGCATTTTACTTCACGGTTCCCTTGATCACTTGCGGTGCTATATTTGCCGTAAAGCGTCTGAGTGGAATGACTATGAGGCGACTATACATGCTGGAACTGATATCATTCGTCCGAAATGCCGCCTTTCACGCCAGGAGAGGCTGAGGAACTGCCTCCGGCCAACCCCAATAGGCTGCCTTTTACCAGACGTGGCATTACTAGGCGTGGACCACAGCAATGGAGAAACAATCGTAGAGATCGTCCAAAAGGACTTAGCAGCCGGTCCAGACCTCTTTCTTGTGCTTGGTATAAGTCTGCGTGTGTCTGGTCCGAAGAAGTTAGCTTGTATGTTTGTAAGTGTAGTCCGGAAGAAGGGCGGAACAGTGGTCTACACGAACCTATCACAGCCTTCACACTCATGGGGCCGCTTGGTGGACTATGTCATCGAGGGTGCTTGCGATACCTGGGTTAAGGACTTGGAAACGCGTCTAATTAAGCGGATTATGGCTAGTTCGCTTATCAGAGAAGAAGGTGACAACTGAGGCAGAGGAAGCAGGCATCATGGAAGAGGACATAAGAATAGAATACGTATAGAGAATGTGAGGGGAAAGACGAAGGAGGATGGGTTGGTTGAGCATCTATTTATTATAGACTAGCTTGATGCATCACATATTGGAATGGGAACTTCAGACTATTTGCGCTCTTTCAGGCCATCTCAAGAAGCCTTAGATGATATATTGTGAGCGGCAGAACGTCGTGTAAGGCCTCGAATAGCCTCGGAGACGATTCGCCTCGCAGTCTGACTTTAACGGTCAAAGTGTAGGATGATCGATAAGCAGACGAGGATGCTGTCGTAACAACAATGTAGAGAAGCGGACGATAGCTGCTGGGGTGTACTATGGATCGGACACAAGCAAGAGAAATACACGCACTGGGACATGCTGGGGATGATGTAGAATGTACTGGTGCGAAGTAGCAAAATCGAAGAACGAGATTAAGGAGTAGTAAATGACTATTATCGAATTGCACCAGCTACTTTGTCGAAAACTAGTGACGTATCCTAACGACGGTTCCAGCAAACCAAACAGGATATGGAGAAAGTCCTAGAACAGGGAGACGAAATAAAGAAGTGCCTAGGCATAATGTTGGTATAGTCGAGTGCTGAGGCATCATGTGCTGAGATCGTGCGACTTTTATAGACTCTCTCGGAGACTGGCAGCTCTTAGGGCTTGCCTTCACTTTCCGATGGCTGGCTAGCCCATATCGGGTTTAAAACACTGTGCTGGTAGCTGGCAACACAGTTGATAGCGATAGATCTTTGCGTAGTAGAGTAAAGATGCTCAATGCCTAGTTCTTGTCTGGAGTTTCACTCATCATTGTTGGGCGACATCAGTCTTTCTGCCCTTCAGTAGTCGATTTGAGATTCTGATCATGTTGTCTGATGGTAGACTTGGCATCGGGACCGTAGTCGGAAGTTAACGGGACATCATTGTTCTACATCCATCAACTTCAATTCAGTCAGTGGCGACTGTGTTCGATTCGATGAATCCTTTCGTTGGCGTACATGCATCATTATCATGACGTGGGCGCACTCTTGTGCCATCCGTCACTTTTCAGTTAGGGCTAGGATGAACCTTCTAGAGACATTTGAGTGAAGCCTAGTTATCAGAAAAAATGAGTCCTTACTTCTAGACCGTTGATTTCGATTTTCAGGATATCTTGGCTGAATGCTTCGGAGGTATCATTAGTTTCGGAACCAATGCCTATCGCGTCATTGGCCTGACATTTGTTAGCAGTAGATCGAGGATTACCATCGACGGAATAGGCGTACGGCGCCTTCTCCCGACTAATCACGACAATAGCCGAGACCATTATACTTTCAATGTGGTATCGACTATGCCGCCGCTCCGTTTGGTCCATCCGTCTGAAGATCCACTCGTGTACTTTGACATCCTGCTGAACAGCTCCGGGGCCCAGGCCCGAACTGTCGACATCGGGAGGCTCATCTCGAAGTCACAGAAGTCTAGTGCTGATGTCGACGTGGAATCGTCGGGAACGGAGTCAGCAGAGGATCCAAGGAGTCTTCAACGATGAAGAGAAACGGGACAGGTTGTGGGATGAGGCAACTAGGACCCTCCCAGATCGTGATACACCCTCGTATTGATGTCACCAACACTTGACACAGACAGGAGATACTCAAGTTAGCTAAAATCAATCATTTACCGACTGCCCTTTGCGCTAAGCCTTCCTCTGCCAATTTCTGTGAGTATTTCCCAGAGGACATTGTTGCCGACTCCCCGTCGCTCATCGCCGCTGACTACGCCTCTTCCTGCGCCTTCTGTTTCCGGGAAGTGTGCTGAGTATATTGCGAAGATTGACGAACCGTCTCCTCTTTCCACTAGATTCCTCAGTCTCCTCCGAATCCGAATAACTACTTGCCCTCCTGGGCCGCGGCCTCGAGGCGCGGCTGCCTCGTTCCCTCCGTGACACGGAGTCGCTGTCGCTTGCGGAGGAATCTTCTGCGCTGGAGCGATCCACTTCTACGAAAGCGGATTCTTCATACCTGTCCATACTCCGGATCCTCTTCTTATCTGCGCCCCTCTTTGGTGTTGGACTTCTCTCAACTCGCGGGTACCGCTCGACAACATAAACTTCGTCGGGAGGGTCAGCAGGAGATGAGGTCGGCCCCGCTCTGGCAGTGTTGCTCCTGCTCTCAATAAAGTAGGGACCATTCAAGGTGTCCCGCCGCAAAGGAGGGTCAGGATAAATAGAATCCCTTAACACGCTCTGGGCACCCGTGAGCCGCCTGCTCGAAGGTTCGGGAGTGTCGTGATGAGACGACTCCCTTGCATCTGGATTGCTACCCCTCCTCCTCCTGCCGTTTACTCCTGAGCCATTGGGGAGATTGTTGAAACGCGTCACCCACCCGGCAGGGGGAGCGGGAGGGGGTTTCGTATAGTTGACACGCTTCCTTGAGTTCGATCCCCCGGTAGACGTGATGAATAACACCTGCTTCTCCTTCTGGTTATTTTCGGGACTCATTCTCCTTCTCCCGCTCCTACTCTGGCTCCGGCTTCTGCTCCTGCTCCTGCGCCTGTCCCTCCCAGAAGGCCCCGGGACGTCCTCGGGCTCCGGATCGGTACCATCCTCCGAATCGGCATCAGAACCAGGGAGAGAGTAGAATGCATCAGACTCAGAAGCCTTCCTCTTCACTGCTCTCTGTACGTCGCGTGGCTCTGGGATAACCAGGCGCTCCGCTCGAGAATCGTCACCAGTCCCAGAGTTTTTGGTTGCCGTCTTTTTGGAGCCTCGGCTACTACCACCCCTGGCAACCTTTTCCGTCCTCTCGGGTTCTGATGATGCGTCCGAGGAGAAACTCGATAATGACTCCGGCGTCCACCGACTCCCCTTCTCCCTTTTCAGGTATCCGCCAGTGTCAGACCGGTCCTCAGAATCGGACTGCTTCCCCTTCTTCAACACCCTGCTCTTGTTCCTCTCCATCTTGCCGTTGACACTCCTCGCCCCGGGCTTCCGCATGCCGAGGTCCTGGTAGCTGATCCCGTTGCGTAGGCTCACGCTCGTCTTCTCCCCCCAGCCGTCTTCCGGCTCCCTGTAGTCTAGGGTCCACAGCGTCCCATTCTGCTTGGCAAGCCACCGATTGGCTGCATCAGGCGAGTTGAACGTCAGGCAAAAGGCGTCCCGGTACGCTCGGAAGCCGCCGTAGCCGGCCGCTACGCGCGTCACATGGCGGTCCGTTGCTCTTTCCTGCCTCCATGCCTTACCAGACAAGGTCTCGTACTGCTCCGCTACCTTGTCGGAAACGAAGGTAAGGCGCACGGTAGCGGTTCCGTCGTTGATGGTGACGGATGCGTGTGAAAAGACAGACATGACGGGTTTCTGATAGGTGATTTCCAACACGGATGGAGTGAGGATGACAGATGAGAGGGAGAGAAGAGCCTGGGGTGTTTTGTGAATTTCGCGAGTTTCGCGCTGGTATTACTTCGTATTGGGTGGGTGTTTCCGAATTAGCGAATGGCTGCGGAGCATAATACTGCATACCCTTGAGAGCTGAACATGAAGAGGGCGGTGGGATGCATATGGGCTCAGCCACTGACTGGATACAGGGCGTCTATGCCTGCAGCCATATGCAGTTGTCGCGCCCTGGTTGGCAGGCATCGGATCGGCGCCATCCGGCCGGCTGCACTGCAACCCGTTAGCAACTAAGCCGGCGCGGAACAAGAACTCGAGGTCTCCGCGGTTCGACATCCTCCCTGCCCGATTCCCCGCTCGCATTATTTAGAGCCCAACAGTCCTCCCAATTATTCACCACGGACAGGACGGTAGACGTAAAGTACCAATACAGCAAGATCGCAAGCGTAGTTGGCGTTGTGCCAACTCGTGTCCGTGGCGTATATACACCTTACCTCTAGAGACCTTGCTCTCCGCACCAAATCGGTACGACTAGAATGGACCTGGATCGATATTTGGGAGGTATCTTGAACCCAGAAGCGGTATCTCTGCATATCCAGTGAATCCGGCTTAGTCCTGATATCGATAATCTAGCCCAGATCCCGCTCGATTTCAGCAACCCAAAGCCATGGGTGCTCAGCCGACACATCGAGAACCTCGTCTCGAGGATCCAAGGCGAGCCCGACAAGAGGTCGCAGAAGACGCGCGACAAGAACGACATCGGAGATCGCCACCTGCACATGAGCTTCGCCGAGCTGCAGCGCATGCGCCTCCGAGAGCTTCAGTGCCGGCTCGTCAAGAGCATCGTCGACATGAGGATCGACCCTCGGACCCCGGTCGACTGGGAGGCGAACCTGAAGGAGTACAGTAAGCGCAAAGCCCAAAACCGTTCAGGAAAAGTAATCGTGAAAGCGGTGGCTGAGTCTCCCCCGACGAGGAAAAGTCCAGGCGGTACGCGACTATGACTTCATGACCGAATGCAGCCAACGCGCCAGTGACCCGTTCGATGTCTCGGCGGAGCGGCTGACAGACGACGAGATTATGCAGCGGGCCGCGTTCGTCCGAAACGCATGGCAGACCGACGAGGAGTTCCACGCCTTGGACGCCGTGATGCCGCTCGGGACGGGACCCTTCTCGAAGTCGTGGGAGGCACAGAGGAACCCGATCGGCGGCACGCGGCACGCCAGCATCCGGAAGACGTGGTACGGCGCCTTCCTCGAGCGGCTCGGGTTCGCTATTCTCGGCGCCGGCTTCCTGTTGGCGCCCATGTGGATCATGGTCCTCCACAAGACGCGGAACACTTGCCTCATCACGACGACTGCTTTTGTCGTCGTATTCGGTACGCTCCTGGCCTGGCGGATGGAGAAGCCAGCAGATGTTATCGCCGGCACACTGGCGTACGCTGCCGTGCTGGTCGTATTCGTCGGGTTGGCCGTCTGAGCGGATGCAAACGTCGAGATCCTGCTACACGTCGCGATTCCACTAGGCTTTCACGATATCTTTTGGGCCTAGCAGGCCCTGAGACGACCTGGGCGGACACATGTGGCCACCGGTGTTGTAGATGGCAGGGTGTGACGCAGAGAGGTTTCGGCAGCGGAAATGCAAGAGCATCACAAGCCTGGTCATCTCTTCCATCTCTCACAAGGCTCTTTGGTCTCCAACCTTTTCTACGCACGCGCTTTTCCAGGCCGCCGCAAGCCAGCTTCCCATCGTGCCCCATTCTTGCAGCTCCTGCACTTGCTCCAAACGCCCAGCCGGTGGTATCGACTATGTGGGAGGATACCAAAGGTCGGCGACAATGTAATATGCCGAACCCCTTCTCGAGCATAGTCAGAGGTTTAAGCTTGGTAGATCACCGGGAATCTGAAATCTAGGCCATTATCATGGAGAACCGTCGAGTCAGACGTTATGTGGAAGTGTCAATCTGAGAGGAAACTTGAAGTTGCCAGGACCTCAAGTGCACGTGACATGACTCATCACAGGTAACTGTAGCATTCCGCGACCTTGGGCCAGTCCATAGAGCCCTCCAAGTGTCCTCGTGTACACTCGAATCGAGTTCTCTGAGTTAATCGCGCCCCTGGTCCGACGAAGGTCAGATTCTCGCATGAGATATCGTATGAAAGACTCGCCAAGGCCTTTGTTGTCAAACGTCAGAGTCTTTAGTATGGCTTTCCACTCCCCCCGCCTGCCCATCTTGTCGCAGAAGCCTTGCCATCGTTGTTACAAGCGAAAGAGGCTAATCTTGTGATTGTCCGAGTGGTTAGGGGGCAATGGTCGTCGAGCGTTTCCGCGCGCCCAGCGGTTTTCTAGTTCCTGGGGTTGCCACGGCTCAGGCTCTGGAGTCTCGTCGTCGCGAAGTTGGCGCTGGTTCAATCCTGGCTTGATCAAACTCCATAGTACCTTTCCACAGTGCGTGTTTAGGATAATACTGTGGTACGCAACGCGATCGAAGTGAATGGTTGAGTAAAGAGTCGGACACAATTTGGGTTTTATTTTTTATTTTTTAATCAGCATGACAGCACTCTGCTGGCGTGACTGACTTTAAATGCTACGGGCAGCCCGTTCTTGGCTGTGTTCGCTGGTGACCCGGGCTTCTGGCTATCATAATGCAGTAGCCGGGGCGCGGGCGCAGCATGAGGTTGTCCTCAAGTCCATGGTACTGTGCGAAGTACAAATGGTCTCCGGTGTAGGTACCTCGAACGGGGGTTCTGCGGGTCTGAAAACGGGGCCGACCTAGACCCGAAAAGGGGTCTGCCAACCCCAACACATGGATTAATTCTGTAATTGAGAAGCAAAGGAACTAGAATGCCCTCGCGCGGGTGGTCAGAGATCATATATCGACCACTGATCCTCCGACGGGCCAGCCTGACCTCCGGTTTAGAGCGTGACTAGGCGATATCCCGGACCTTCTTTTTTCGGGAAGCTTAATGTGTGCTACAAATGCGCTTCTCTGACACGCAATAGATCACCTACTTCTCAGACATCATTGCATATGGTTGTATCAGCGTATCATACACGGCCCTTGGTTCCCTTTGCGGTATTGTTCGATCCTTTCTCCAGCGGACTGGATGAACGAAGCAGCTCCGCTGGACTTGATATTCCGAATATCCAGAAACCTAGATGGTCGCCAGGCGAGGAGCTCATTCGTCCAGGTCCAAAGCAGTCAGCGTAAAGCATTGACCAGTGATGCGACGTGCCCGAGTCCGAGGTGGCCGTCAGCTTACGTTGCGACAGGACGCTTCAGAACGCTTTAAGTCTTCCCAGGACGCAAACTAGGCTGGAAGCAGTGTTATGCTGAGCACGATGAAGCATGTGGGGATGGCGACGACTGCCTCCTTCATCCATGCTTGACGCTCTCATGCAGTTGACATCCTCACTTGAGTGATCTAATCGAGGCGCACAGCCTGTAGATCTCCCTTGAAAGCTGTATATTGAGAGTGTAGACATGGCACCTTGTCACATGGAGATATATTCACCTAATCAGGTATATGATCAATGAGGTACAGACCGGAGTTTTACTAATTTATTGTCTAATATCTGGAGTGCCTGGCGTCTGCCTTGATCAATACTAGACTGTCTCAAGCTTGAAACTCTCCCGCGAAGGTGACTCGACCGGCATCAGACCAGCTTCCTTAAGGGACGAGGCCTTGCTGTGGAGAACTTCACTACTGATATATCCGCCCTTGAGCCAGCGCTTCCCAGAAGAAGTGTCAAACTCACGGCGGCCGTGGAAGACCCTTCTGTTGTCGAACAGGACGCAATCCCCGGGCTTCATTTTATACTGGAACACGTTCTCCGGGGCCTCAATGCCGTCTTTGAAGACCTTCGCGGCCGCATGCCAGACCTTCTGCTCCTCTTTGCCTGGAACGAAGAGACCCGGCACTTCTTTCAAAGCGAAGAAGGGCGCTTGGAATGGTGGAGACCAGTAAACATCCCGAATCGCGTGTCTCGCATTGCGCTTCCGATTGCCCGAACCGGTGGCGATGACTGGGCGGTCGCGTCTATATTTGTGCGGTGCGATATCGTAGTGATACGGAACGCGCACCTTTCTCAGAATAGTGAAGTATTGCCTGTTCGTCGCCTGGATCTCCAAGGCAGTTCTGAGACCGTCACTGAATATCGAATCGCCTCCCTCGCAGCTATTCTCCAGGCAGTGAAGAATTTGAATCTTGGGCACGTCATTCCAGTACATTAGATCTTGGTGAAGCCCCAGAAATACATTGGTATAGGCAACATTCTCTGCTTCAGGCTTCGAGATGACGTCCCAGGTCAGTCCATAAAATGTTGATTGAAGATGACCAATCTGCTTGGCGATCTCCTCGACAGACGTTTCCTCAAGGGGAACGTCTCGCAGGAAGATAATACCGTAGCGGATCAAGTCAAAGAACGCACGGACAAAGGTTTCACCACCAGACATCCACTCAGCGTAGGTGATTGGGCTCAAGACGGTCTCCAGTTGTGATTTGTTCCATAACGATCTGGGTAGGTTTTGCGGCGGTGGTTGAGGTCTCAAAACGTACCTGTTGAGAAACTCTGCTGTATATAACGAATCGTGATTCTGTCCATCCCGGAAGTCGTTGGCCCATGTGACTTCAAGATCTCCATTGGAGGTGACGTTGGATTTAGCGACTTCGGGGCTGAGAGGTACATCGGTCGTTGCAAAGGTTTTCTGACCGGAAGATGGGCTGACACAAGACTGGCAGGTACATGCATCCCGGAGCCACAGTTTTGGGATGGCTACGGTTTCGTGCGGCTTCTCAAAGCTTAGACATAAGTTGTGCTTGTTATCATCTGCACTTATGATTTCAGTGGGTTGTGGATGCTCTTGTTTGTTCTTCTTGTAACTGGGCGTTTTCTTTTTCCTGGGAATCCTGGGCTTTGTACCATCAAATATCTCAGCCTGGGAGACATAAGTGATGGGCTTTGCCAAACCAGTCAAGCTTCGTAACTGGAACTTGAACATGTTTGCAAGTGATGAGTCTAGCCGCCGAGTGCTGGCTTGTCGGGATGACGCATGGCATGGCAAGCGTTGCGCCAGCAAGGCGGCGTTTGGCGCATTCCGGAGCCCCGAAGCAGTGGCTCGCAGACGAGGCCACGACATTTTCTAGATCGCTTATTGTATTGTCGTTCGTTTCGCGATCAAGGACAGGAGGGGTTCACGCATGCGAGCTTGAAAAGGGCACGTTCGGTCGGTCGTTTGGGGGAAATCAACGGGTCGAAGTTGGCCGAGTCTCATTTATCGCGAGGGGATAGAGTGCGCTCAATGATGGAAGGCGAGCTGCAGCTCCATTCATCAGATTAGATGTCAATAGATCGACGGCTCAACGATGCCACACGTGTCGTGGAGGCCGCGGTGGTTGTCGGCTGAACGGGGGCACGGGAGAGGGGGAGCTGGAGCTTGGAGGTTGAAGCTCGGCTCATGCCCCACCATCCCCAGACCTGCCACCGACCTGCCTACCATCTCACCTCGCCAGCCTGTCCTTCTTTACTATGTGAACCCTGACTCTTTCGATGAAACAGATAAGACATTGCTTGATAGCGGGAAGCGAGAAGAGGCAAAATTAGAACTCAAGAGCTCCTCAATCTGCGGATATTGCAAATTGGTGAGTGGAATTGGGTTGTTGAACAGGTATGATATCTTGAAAATGGGAACGCATCGCATCGGCCTCACACAGAAAGAAAGATATTGACCGATTGCCTCGGCCGCCTGGTCTCATAGGACAGCACGTGATCGTGAAGGTCACCTGACTTTGTCATGCAATGAGTCACATGACTAGGCCTTATCATTCGGCTAGTACGCCCCTTCCATCATGCCTTTTGCCGAAGGTCAAGATTTATTCAGGGGGTTGGTTAAACTGGGGAGTCGTTGTGTTTTTACAGTCCTGGTGACCAGGAGGCGTAAATAAAGACAGAAACGGTGAACGCCATCTTTTCCATTGATGAAGCAGTGCATGCGGTAGAGAAAGTGAATCGATCGTCGTCATCTGTCTCGCGTGTCTGCCACACCCGGCGCTGGGATCGGTCGCCCGGCCGGGTACGCTACACGCCCACCAGATAGACTTTTGGGGAGCGACAGCAGATCAGGATATGCTCCCGGGGTTTTGTCAAAAAGCTTGGTGGCTGGCTGACATGACAGTGAGCACTTTGTGGGCGCGGATCAACGTTGAAACGGCGATCGATCGCCCTCTCGCTGGCTGGCGCTGGCTGTCGAAGCCACCGGAGTCTGGGGGGCGCCCGCTTGTCACGCTTCACTGGTCATTCATTCATTGTTTTGGCAATGCAACCACGCGGCCCGACACTGGAATTGATGGACGTAATTCGAGCAGTCGCAAGATGGCATCCCAGGCCTCTGGTTCGCTGGCTGTGTCCGGTGATCGTCAGGCACGAAAACTCTGCCACCCTCCACCACGAGGATTTTTCTTGTTTCTTGTTCCGCCGCAGTTCGTACTGCCAACCTTTCTCCGCTGTTTGTGCGTCTTTTTTTTTTTGTTTGTTTCGGCGCAATGCACTGTACTGTACAGTATCATCCAGTGAGATGCAGGTTCAGGTGAGAAACTCGTTGATAGAGGGGGAGGACACGCAAGCCAGAACCCCATCGTGCTCCACCGTCGCGGAACCACCCAGCGCATCCACTGGCGGGCGGTGCTGCTTGTGCTGCTGTGCTGCTGTGCTGCACACGTGTCTGCGGGTGGTCTGTGACTTTCGCCGGAAGCACTCAAGCTGCTGTAGCGGGACAGAAAAGAGCGCACCATCACATCGGCGAACCACAGTCGGCACTTGCCAGCTCATTCCTGCAGCGCATTCTGCTGTGGTGCCCTACTTTACTATGCTGTACAGTACTACCTACTATGCAGTAGTGCTAGGACCGTTCTGGCTGGTTTGCTGGCAGCAGCACCGCGCCGTGGTCCGGTGGAGGGGTTTGGTGTTTGGCAGCCCCCAGAGCCAGAGGGGAGAATGAAGGAGCCAGACTCCAGAGCAAGATGCGTTCGCGATCCCAGTGGGCTCCAGTGGGCTCCAGTGGATCCAGCGGATCCCAGTCGGCGGTCCCCCAGGTGGAGTGACGAGCGGGCTTGCTGGGATGGAGCAGATGAAGCAGCCAGTAGAAAGTCTGGAAAGGGGCGGTGTGGGCCGGCGCGCATGCAGGCACAGCGTAGTGCAGCCGTAGTGCAACCGCCCAAGCGGTCTCCTTGGCGTCCAAGAGCCGGAGTGGCAGGGAACCGTGGAATGCATTCCAGAGCTTTGATTAGCTCTACATGTACACTACCAGACTACGTAGCTCAGTCGACGACGAAATCATCCATTCTGATTAGCCAAGCGGCGCCTGCCAGTCCAGTGCCAGCGGGTGGCATCCCTCATCCACCCATCCATCAGCTTAGCCGGTCACGCATGCGGCAGACCAAGAGGGAAAAGGGAAAAAAACAGGAACAGAGCCAGTGAGCCCACTGAAGCGAGTGGGCGAGAGAGTGGATTGTGGTGGACTGGACTCGGCCAGCCAGCGCTCCGCCAGGGCAGTGAGCACACGCGAGAGCCAACGGGTGGCTGCGAATCACGAAAAATGGGCCAAGTCAGGCCTCGAAATCATGACCTAATCCCTGAAACTGCTCTACAGACTACACGTACGCCGGCGGGCGGTACAGCAGAACCTAGGGCGAGCCAGGCATTCACAGGCTCTCCGTGAGTGCGTTGGACTCTCTCTTCTCTCTTGGTGGTGTTCAGCGCCGTCAACTCTGGCCCAGACCCTGCAAAACACCCAGAACGCCCTCCTCGTCACCCTGACGCCTCAGGCATCATCCATCGGCCGTGCTCCACTCGTGCCTCCCCAATTGGTACACAAACACCGCATTAGGTAAGTCGCAAGAGGCGCACTGGCGTGGTGGCCTTGGTGGCCTTGGTGGCCTTGGTGTTTTCTTGGTGTGGAAGGCACGACCGTCTGTTTTTGGAGTGGATCCCCCCTTATCTCATTTCGCCAATAACATTGGCTGCTTGGAACAACAAAGTCGCTCGCCCGCATTCTTTGTGTGGGGAGTGACAAAGGCCGCTGGCTCGGGGAGTGGTGGTGCCCTGCAATCTCTTTCTACGCGGCCCTCCTTTCCCCTTCCGTTAGGGCCAGTCGCCCATTGTTCTGGCCTTTCCCTTTGCATTCATCTCGCTCATTTATCTCGGCCGCCCTCGCTCGTTCTCTCCCTACCTTACCTCATCCTGTCTCTCCTTTCCACCCTCACCTTCAGTCGTCGGTCGATTTTTGGCTTCCACACGCTCCTTACGCATTTGACGAATTCGTCATTTATATCTTTGGGTGAGCCTTCGCTCTTTCCGTCCGTCCCTTGTCGCGCCTTCCTTCCGTATCATCGTATCGCGTCTTCTTCACCAAGAACAACAACAACATCATCATCAACAAGAAACGCTTTACCCTTGCGGGAACAGTCACGACAACTTCAGGTCACACTCATTCACCCATCCACATTCCTTTGTGCCATCAATCAACTACTCGTCGACATCGACATCAAGTAACAAACATATCACAACACGGTCCTTGACGACTGCTGGAACAACAACATCATCTCAAGCAGGCCTTCGAACATCACCAATCGAGTCAATCGAGACCACGCGGACCAGATCGCATCCAACTACGACGCACAACACCATCGTCCCATCTAACAAGAAGCGAGGATCATTCAAGATGCATATCACATCGCTCCTCGTCCTCGGCGCCCTGGGCGCTGTCACTGCCCACCCGTCCGGCCACGCGCGCTTCCACCGTGGCCTTCACCAAAACCCTAACCGCGCTGAGAACATCATCAGTGCTACTATCAACGGCAAGGTCGTCGAGTGGACCCAGGACTCGTCGCCCTTCGTCATGGCTGGTCGTCCCCAGAAGCACACCACGACCGCATCGCCAACCCCTACTCCTACGCCAACTCCCGCATCCTCTGAGGAGCCCGCTGCCACATCCACTCAGTCTGCATCTTCCGGTGACAGCGATGCTTCCGGCGAGGGTGTCTCAACCTACACCACCTTCTCTGACTACTGTGGCTCGTCTTCCAAGAAGCGTGCAACCCTTGGCCAGATCATGTACACTGGCAACACCGGCGATGGTACTTACGGCTGCAACATCATGAAGGTCGCCAGCGAGGCCGTCGCTGCCAAGTACGACAACACCATCAAGTTCTACGGTGCTACTGAAGACATGAACTGCTGGGTCTGGAACAAGATGGCTGCTGACGGCACCCTTTCTGGTATGTGGGGTACTGATGCTACTACTTTCACCCTCAAGGCCGGAGCTGTCCAGTACGTTGCCTTCGACAGCAACACCCAGGGCGCCGCCGCCTGCTACTCTGGAAGCGACCCTATCAAGACCACTTATGGTGCTTTGGCTGGATCCTGGGCTGAGTTCGACTTTGAGAACTCGAGCAACGATGGCTGGAGCGGTTTTGACTGCTCTTGCATCGTTGCCCAGGAGGCTGGTCTGTCCGTCCCTGCTTGCGAGATGGTCGGTGCCGGTGTTACCTCAAAGATCGCTGCTGGTGGTGCCGTCGACAACGCCTACGACCTCTCACTCAAGGATGCCGATGGCATTGGTGGTCAGTCCAGCGGCCCGTTGAAGATCGAGTTCAACGTCAACCCCAACTAAGACGGGTACCTCTTTCTTCACATCTTCTGATACAAACCGACGGCTGCTGTTTCCCACGGGGGCAGTGCCTGATAGGGCTGGTTATGTGGTTGGCTGCTCAGCTTCTTGGCACTTTCTTCGCAGACATGAACACCTTTTGCGCCTGGACATTGTGGATCTTGCAAAAGATGCCTGTCTAGGTCATGAATACATTCGGGCGAACATATAGGCATTTAAAGCTAAGCATTTGTAGTGTTTATTGAAATTCACAGAAAAGTCACTTTTTAAACTTTCGGCTGTTCCCTGGTGTTCCCGTATTATTCGTAGTAATCGCCACCTCGCTCGGTTGACCGTTGAGATCATCTTCCCGTACCGTAGTTACTTCACCACGTGTCGGCGCACCTACCCGTCCATCACATGAGTCGTAACGCTTGGACCCTGAAGTGAAGACAAGGTGAAGTTAGAATCTACTTGATCACGTCAGACGCATATCGAGATACGCTGCCAACTGCCGGTATGCATGCACTTCCGCTCGGTCTAGTTGCTGGGCAGGATGCACAGTCCGAGGAGCACATCCCAAAGATGGCAGTAGGTGTGGCCGTCACCGCATGACTCTTACCTACCTTCTACGTGGCTGTCGCCGCCTGACACAAGCAACGCTATCCCTCGAATCTGACAACTGATGATTTCATCAACTTCAAGCTCTCGGCAAGCCATGTCGTCGGTCAGAGACATCGTGCTCAGCTCCCAGCCATCTTCTTCGACGTCGAACCCTCCGCATTCCAATCGTTTCTTTGTCGTCTCCCGGCATCGCCTACGATCCCGACCGAGCGCCGCTAGAGTCTAGAACAGACTCGCCTCAACTCGACTCAACTCAGACCCAGACCTAGACTCAGACTCCCCCAATGCGGCAATGCGGACATGTCCCCCAGGCGCACCGATTGCAACAGACTCCTTATCGGTCCACCATCTTTATCGCGCCGCAATCGATTAATCGACCGACCGATGCCCGCCCGAGAAAAACACCGCAGGCCCTAACGCTAAAGTGCGTGCAGGAAGAAATCGAGATAGCGCGGGCGGGCGACGGACGGTGGGCGCCCCTCCTTCGCGGTGCTCCTGTTGTCAACTGACTCGTGGCTCTGCGACCAGCCGTTCCTGGGCTAGGAAGCACCAGCGCCGCGGGAGCGATTTTGGTGCTGGCGAATGACTCGCGCGCTGGATTCCCACGAGGGCGGACGTGACAAGTCTAGGCAGGCTTGGCGGAGCTGTCTGCGGCGTGTGTTCACTGTGTTGCTCGTGGGTGAAATGCCAACGCAGCATTCTCCAACGGATCCGTCATGCCATGCCACCTACGTCGTCGGCTCTCCGGGAGGCCTTGCACCTCTCCCTCGCTTGGCTTGAGGGCGTCGGGTGACAGAAGACCCTGTGGCGCCTGGGCTCACGATCCCGACGGCGCTTCATTCTCGAGGGAGGCGGGAGTGAGTCGACGAGCAGAAAAGCACTCGGCGGACGACCATGCGACGACGCTAGGAACAGATCTCCACTGTCACAAAGGCTACCGTCTCACCTGTCCGATGGAGTTTTTTTTCCGTCCCCTCCCCCGCCGTCCGTCTGGCATTTGGCACCGGCGCAGAAAATCATCTGCCGTGGTTCGTCGAGGCGTCGAGGCGTGCTTCTGCTTTCGGCGCCAAGATCCTTCTGAGGGGGTGGAGAGCACAGAGAGATCCAGTCCCAGTCCGGCCGGCGCTGGTGGCGTTATGCTCACCGTGGACCCTGAAACTATCGGTGAAGAAAGGTGGGCATGGAGGAGAGGGGATCGTGATGCCTCAGGCTGGGGAGCGTGATATCCTTTTCTGCCTGAGGATTCGGTTTCTGTGGGATCGAGGACGGTGAAGATTGGAATTATCTGGATAACGCTTGTGTCGACGGAGTCTTGCTAGGGATGTTAGCTCCGAAGCACAGGGCAAAGTGCTCTGGTGTGATGGCGGCCATTCTCGAGGCCGGTTTGAAGACTGAGCTGCCAATGGCCTCAGTTGTTCAGCCAATCTGCTCTGACTGGCGAGACAGCTTGATCACGACAGAACATGGACGAGATCTTCAAGGATGGCATGGCTTGGTCATTCAACCGACGTGCTTGCCCATATTTGTTGTTTTGAGAGCTGTTCGATGCCCGTCATGACGAATGCTGCACTTCTTGTGGCTACCCCATGGCTATCTTGAGGCGTCTCAAGAGGGCATGGCAACAGTAAGTGATATATGCTTTTCCTCGTCGAAAGATCACAGCCAGTGCTTGATTCCTGTGGTATAGAATACCAATTACAAGGCTCGAGGTTAGGCAGACCAGTAAAAGAGGAGCTTAAGCCAGGTGAATTAGCTGCTTCGTTGATCTCTTAAGATCTACGGATGGGCAGCAGGGTGTACTGTGCCCACCCGTGATCTGCCACAGGGGTCAGCTTGCCACATGGCTCGACTGGCGAAGCATTTGAAACATTGCTTTGAATGTACTTGGCCCGGCGCATTCAGAGGATACGTAAAGGTATAGGAGTCTGGCCAGGAACAAAGAGGTCACTTATCAAGAGCTATTTATGTTCTACACTTGAGATGCTAGTGCGATTGTCGAGTAAGTCTGGGGAAATTGAAGGCGTCTGCAGGTGCATCCTGTGAACTCTAGTGTGGTTTTGCAATGGTGGGCATTTGCCTCACCATCAAAGCTTCTTTATCTCAACTCTCCCTTTATCTACGACCGCATTTCTTCTCCTACGCTTTTGCATCCTCAGCCTTTGTTCTTGGCGAAATCGCCGTATCTGATTGATGGAACAATACGCGTGTGTACTCAACTTTAGGAGCCCGGGTGTGCCGCTCAACCTGCAGAGTCGCCAGTCAATCGCAATCAATGAGTTTGACTGCACTTCAGCACAGGATATCTTTCTTGACGATTTCATCTGCGTGTAGTTTCGTTGTGATGCTCAAAAAAGTTTCTTTAATGCCTGCTTCTCGGTGAAGAGGCGACCGACAGTTTGGCGGTACCGCTTGCTTCATTTCTGTAGGCAAGCAATCACTGGTACATCTCTCGCTACCAGGAAGATACTTTGGCTCAAGGCAGGACTTGAGAAGTAGATCACGCCTCCTAGATGACCATCCAGGGGTTCGAAGGGTATGTACCCTGCATTAAGCGCATGGCGGCTCAAGGATGGTGCATCATTACAGGACAGTAGCCGGTAACCGAAGCTCAATGCAACTTTGGCGCCGGCCACCAAACGAGATGAAATAAGGAGAGAGATGAGGCTCTCTGCCTGCCGTCTTCATCCCAACTTCTCACCAGGATCACTTACGATCAAGGGGCCAGTCCTTGCCCTATCGCACCGTTTCGAAACTCCATCTCGTGGAGTCCGCCCAATCGTAATCCCAGCCAAGCCCATGTCATGATCCACCCCCAAGAGCGCCCGCCGCCTCTAATTGATTGCTGGGTCCAGGTCCTTGAGACAGGCGATGGCTTGCCCAGCTTGACCAGACTACAATGAGGAAGGTCTGCCGTCGCCTCATGCGATTCCACCACACACAACACTCTATCATCACCATGGCGGCCCACGAAGGTATTTCATTCGACCCCGTTTCTAACCTCCTTGAGGCCTTTGAGCATCCAAGTCTCGTCTGAGCTTGATTGTTCTCGGAGTCCGGATTCTTGCCCCTGCACAGGAACCTACGGGCCATATCGAAATGACTGTTTCACGACTGAGCATGGAGCTATCATCGTCGTGCTATGGGGCAAGTCGCCTATGGTATATAAGACCTCCTTCTGCAGTCGTTCGTCAAGTTCTGGCAGTCTATCAGGTCACAATCTCTTTGCTGTTGTTGCCAGCCTTTTCATTCGTTTCAGTCTTTCTTTACGCGCCAGTCGCTCTATTCTTTCGCTTCTTATCAACTCGAGCTTCTTCACGATAGCCTTTCTCTCTTTACAAGTGAACATTGCCTTGTGCTAGACACCATGAAGTCGTTTGTCGCTTTCGCCTCTCTTCTTTCCACCGTTGCCGCCCATGGCATGGTTACCTCACCCACACCACGAGCTCTAGGCTTAAACTTCAAGGACGCCTGTGGCGAGCAGCTATTCAACAACCAAAATGCTGACCCCTATGGCAACATCCAAGCTTTGGCACAACTGATCAAGGCTGACGACTTCAACGCAACTGCTTGTAATCTCGCGTTCTGCAAGGGCTATCAGTTTTCTGATGCCAACGCCGCCGATATTCAGCAGTTCACCGCTGGTCAGACCCTACCTATGAAAATTGAGATCCGCGCGCCGCACACAGGTGTGGCCAACGTTAGCATTGTGGATGCTGCTACCGGTGCGATGATCGGGTCACCCCTGATTTCGTTTACGAACTATGCCAGCACGGCTACTGGCGTTGCCGCGAACAACACCGAGTTCTCGGTTACGCTTCCCGATGTGAGCTCCCAGTGTGCAACGACAGGTGCTTGTGTTCTGCAGTGGTGGTGGGACAGCAGGGAGGTCGGCCAGACCTACATGAACTGCATCGACTTCACTATGGGCTCTGGATCTGGCTCATCTCCCACAACATCCAGCAGCCCATCTTCAGTGCCCGCAACATCAGTTGCGCCTACGACCTTGGCCACCGTGGTCACCACACCATCGGCTGGCCCAACCACACTCGCCACCGTCACCACCTCATCCGCCCCTGCGACTTCGACTGCACCCGTGGACGATACTGGCGATGACGAGTGCGATGCTACAGAGCCTGAAGACCCAGAAGAGGGTGATGATGGTGAGGGAGACGACGACGAGTGTGATGCCACCGAGCCGGAAGATCCGGAGGAAGGCGACGACGGTGATGATGAGTGCGATGCTGCAGACCCCGAGGAGCCTGAGGACCCCACCACTTGTGAGGAGGAGGTTGTATTTGTGGACGAGTAGACATCTTCCGAGTCTGGTGAGGAGTGTACAAAATGTGATGGGGCACTTCGCGCTGCGAGCAACGTGAAAGCCATGCCTTTCTTCGGTATATATTCGTTAGTTGTATAAAACATCATTGCACTTTGTGACATTTCTTGAAACCCGGACGTGTGAAAAGCAAATGAGACTGTGAATTAAAAGACCACAAATGTAAATGCTAGATCCAAATTTTCTTCTGACGTCGATGACCGTAGAATTAATTGAAACAATGAAGCCTGTCGACCATTCCACATGCTATGATTATTGAGATTTACACTCATCACTCGATGACCAATTGATAATCAGATGCGACGCGGCCGATTGTCGCTTTTCGTTCATGTAAGAGTATTTACTTCGAGTGTTATTCGGCATATGAGATTGGTCCTGCCCAAACGTGGGTGGGTTGCATTTGAAAACACCCGCATGCCCCTATATGGCTGGCTCAACCGTTTGAAGGATTTAGTGCTGATATGCCAGTCTCAGCCGCAACGGAAGGTGCACCAATCCCCCAAGTTTCCCAAATTGCCACTGATGGATTACTGGCAGATTTGTTCCAATAGCCCTATACAAGGCAGGCAATGATGAGGTGTGGCTGGTGCACGGAAGTCTGGACATTAACGATGCCTCGTTTATCGTGCTGTACTACGCCTGTGTAACCACAGACACGCGCGCAATCAAATCCTTGGCATTGCAGACTTGAAAGACGCGAATACTACTTATTGCGTTGGCCCCCACCCATCATGGAGTTGCTGGCCAGATTTTGCCGCTGGTATTGCCTTTATCTCTACCGATCATGGCTTCAAGGCGGGGAGGCCAGTCCGTCGTTCAAGGATGGTTTCTTGAAATTCTCGCAATACTTGCATCCATCGCACTTCTAGGTGCGCTCGCAGCCATTCTTTCCTCGTTCGACCGAAAGCCCATTTTCGATACTGGAGTCGTGACACTAAATGCCATCGTGTCCACCATCTCTACCGCGGAGAAAGCTCTGTTGACACTGGCGGTTGCAAGCTCAATCAGCCAATGGAACTGGATACTCTTCTCAAGCAGGCCACGACGCCTCTATGATTTTGAGCGTGTAGCGGATGCTAGCCGAGGTTCTCTAGGGAGCTTCATGCTGTTGGGAAATGTGCATCTTCGGGGAGGGTTAGTAGCCCTTAATCAAGATAGGGGAGTGTTCTTGTTGATCCAAATCTGTCAAGGACAATCGTGCGATTTGGTGCGCTAGTCATGGTCGTGACAATCGCACTTGACCCATTTGCACAGCAGCTCGTGCAATTCGACCAAGAAATGAGATTTACAGCAGATACGACTGGGCAAGCGAAAGTCCCTTTTGCGAATCGCTACTCAAAGGGCAGTGTCTTTAGCCTCAGCCTTCCTGGAATCACAGGTACGCTTGCATCGGCATAATTCAATACGACAAGAACTAAATGCACCTGTGGGCAGTCGACGATGATGGCAGCCTACTAGTTTCTCAGCCACAGGTCATATGGGCCGATGCCGATTACGCCCGTAAGCAACTTTTGGAGTTCATTTTCACCTCTTCTAGCCATGTTTGGAGTAATGGAGACAAAGACACCGTCCCAATGTGGACGGTTACTCCCGAGACATCTCCTTTCGAGCCTTTCCCTGATCTCTTACTGTCCTCATAAGGCAATTACTGACTCTAGATGTTGTAGTTCAGTCTGCAACCGTTTTCGGTATCACCGCGAACCCCTTTTCGATATCCCAGCAAGTCGCATTTGGGTGCCCATCTAGCGAATGCAAGTTCGAAGCTGTGTCCTCATTAGCTGTTTGCAGCCGCTGTTCTGACCTTGCATCCAAGCTTGAAAAGAACACCGACAGCGACGGAGCTCTCTGGGTGGCCCTGGATCGATCTGTTTCTGGGGCACAGGCAGCATCCGGCTCCACAGAATATCGTCTTCACAATGGTCTATATCTTAACAATATCGACAAATCAATGGGGGGCGATGACCAACTTGTTTATATGACCATGTTTGGTACTACAAATAGAAGCAGGACGGTTACAATGGGCGACGTAGACACGCTCATCTGGTCGCAAAGTATGATAAAGGTCGACGCAGATCCACATAACACCAAGAAGTGGCCAGATTATAGCATCATCGCCTCCGAATGTGCATTATACTATTGCGTCAAGAACTACACCGCCGAGGTTCGAAACGGCACGGTTTACGAGGATTCATCCGTGGTCGAGGATGCGAGACGGACAGCGGATTCATGGCAGATCCAGAAATCCTCACTCCAGACCTGGAACAAAGATGATGCCGAAAGTATCGCATTTGATATTGCAGGATCTGGAGTCGCGAGAAGTGACCTTAGGCTCGGGTCTGTCGGGTCCGGTAGAGGATGGAACATCTCCCAGGATGCTATTAATGGGGTAAGTTTCTTCATGCAAAAGACTTTCCAGGTCTGTATGAACGAAAACTGCACCGAGAGCATTGCCGACGTTGATCCCATTAACGGTTATTACATCGCTGCCAATATTGCGCAATACGATTCCAGCATTGCAAAGGTACTATTTGAAGCGACTGACTTTGATGGAATCTTTGAAAACATCGCCGCAAGCATGAGCACCGCTATCCGCAATGGAGGTGACGATACCACGGGGCAAAGCGGTCTAGTCGGCACTCCAACAACCGTGTATGCAGTAGACTGGCGATGGATCATACTGCATTGTATCGCGGAACTTGGAGCAGTGCTTTTTCTGATTTGCACGATCTGGATAACCTCCCGCCGCAAAGGGCCGATAGTGCCTGCTTGGAAGGCTAGCGAGCTAGCGGTCATGTCCCGGGGAATCCGCTTAGGAGACAATCTAAAAGATGCCACGACCAGTAAGGAGCTCGAAGAGAGGGCTAAAGTCTTGTCTGTTGTGCTCGTGGGCGACACCAATAGTACTATTCCGGGGCATGAACAAAGATGGAACTTGATGGAGAGAAATGATCACAATTGCAACAACTATCAAAATCTAGTTCCAGACCGAACACCTCTCACCCCCGCTAATACACGCGAACCGCCAGCACCGGGATATGGATGGCAAACGCCTTCCCCCGGAACCCAGGGCCACGATCCGTATCAGACATGGCCCGAAGATCAAAACGAGCACCACGAGCTCAGACAACGGTAGGGAAGCCAGCCGAGTATTTTCAAACAGCACCTCGGCTCCTACTCTTCTCGATAAGCGCTTCAACAAGAGTCAACTTGGTCATCTTTTTGAGCACTCCCTCTGACAGCCAAGCTGGCAGCATACTCGAGACTCGTGCAGCTAGAGCGTTCTCGCCTCTCCATATGACGCTGGGCGGGTTGTTCCCCAATAGCAGCGCTGAAACTTCTATGGCCCACTGCTCGGGAGATATTCCAATCTCGCGAAGGTCGTCCTGGCTCATAGCCTTCTCGACGACCTCGCGGGCTGGTTCGAATATCGAACCCTTCGGTAGTCGCTCGGCTTTGGTATTGGCGTTGCTATTGGAAATCAAATTTGTTCGCACTCCTGCTGTCTTGAGGTCAATGACGCGAATACCAAATGGAGCCAGTTCGAGACGCATCGTCTGAGAGAGCATGGCGAATGCTGCTTTTGATGAATTGTACACGCCTTGAAAAGGAAGCGCTGATACCGATCCAACTGATGTATGATTGACGATCATTGCTTTGGCTTGATGGCCAGTTCCTGCCGAAACATCAATAGATCTGAGTAGCAGAGGCAAGAAAGCTTGCGTAACGGCAAGATGTGCCCAGACGTTCACATCGTACAGCTTCTTCGCATCGTCTAGTGATACGTCCGCAATGGGCATGATATAGCTTCCAGCAGCGTTGTTGACAAGCATGTCCAGACCTCCGCCATCTAGTATGGAAGAGCATACAGACGAGACTGCAGCCGCGATGGATGATGCCGATGTCACGTCTAAGGACATAATCTCGATCCCTAGGGCGGCTAGAGGTTGCAACTTAGATAGGTTCCGCGCTGTCGCGTAGACGTGATGTCCGGCATTGTGGAAAGCTATAGCAAGGGCTGCGCCTGTGCCGCCAGGAGAGCAGCCCGTGATTAGGATTCTGAGATTATGGTTGGAAGTCATGAGTTGGGTGATAATAGAGGATGAGATTTATGCTTAATTAAGCGATGGGTTCGAAGGTATGGCAAGGAAGCAAATACTTGTTATACAATCAGTTAAAGAGACGTATAACAAGAGGAGCGTCAACAAAACTCAGCGACAGTGGCCGTTTCGCAAAGCCACATACTATTTTTTACTTGTTCTACTACTTATATGAACTTTGCCTTTCACTGGTAGCAAATTGGCTTATTCATCAGTCACTACCAGATCTAACCAGATCCCCGAGGTCGTAGACTGGAATGCTGCGGGTTTGTGGAGTTGCGGAGTTGCGGACTTTTCAAGACTAGGTGTCGTAACGCAACACTGCCTTCGTGGGATAACGTCAGCCACAATTCGCCTAAGACATAGCTACGAGACATTCTCTAAGTGATCTAGGCTGTCATGCTATGCATCATCGCTCCGAAAGGCGAAACAACTCAACTAGAAATCGACACGTGTGCTGGCTGATTTAACTGCCAAACGACTGAAAGCTGGAACATCAATCTCAATGTATTTGCATGCGTGCTATGACAAATATCAGTCGACTTCGTGTGCCTCGCCTACTTGATCATTGGCTTCACAATATAGCTGCATACAAGAGCTCCGTCCAATATCGTCAACTCCACCGAGCGTATAAGACCTAACACCATGCCTTCTAACACTTTCTTGAGAGTAAAAATTCTCTCAGTTTCCTAATTCACCGTAATTATTAATATTGATAGATGTCATGGTCGCTCACTGTTATCAATGTTAGGAGTTGAGAAGAGGGGCGAAAGGAAATCTGCCTTCCTGGCTTATGCTTAAGCACCCAGTATTCTGAACCTCTCTTTAAACATTTTGTATTCTGGCAGGACTTGACTCACATTGTAACACCTTTACTATCCAATCCAACCCTTTTGAATATTGACAGTAAGCGTCTCTGCTGCGTTGCACGGCGGGCTAAGTTCTGGCCCCGCACCTGCCGATGTCGTGATTATCGATGTCGTGATCAACCTAAGTACCAATTTGTAATCACCACTGTGACGACATGTATGGCTCAGTTAAACGCGGTCATCGGTAACCTCGGAATAATTCAACGTGGATGGATAAAAGCATAGAGTTCAATCCGCTCACGCCCAAATAACGAGTTTGACGATCTAAAATTTCATCATTAGAGGATAACAGGATGTCCGAGACTAAGAAGCTGCATCTTACCGCTTTTATGCGACCTGTCAGTCTGCATACTGGCGCATGGCGATACCCAGGCTCATATCCAGATGCCAACTTTAACCTCAAACATCTTAAGTCATTCATACAGAAACTCGAGCAAGCAAAATTTGATGCATTCTTCATGGCAGATCACCTTGCGGTGCTCAATATGCCGGTTGAAGCGTTGAAAAGAAGCCACACAGTCACATCTTTTGAACCTTTCACTTTACTGTCTGCATTATCGCAAGTAACCGAGAAGATTGGTCTTGCAGCGACAGCATCGACTACATATGACGAACCGTACCATATCGCCCGCCGTTTCGCCTCACTTGATCATCTCAGCAACGGCAGAGCGGCGTGGAATATCGTGACTACGGGCAACCCGGAATCTTCAAAGAATTTTGGCCGTGACGAGCATATGGAGCACAGTGAGCGTTATAAGCGAGCTAGGGAGTTCTATGACGTTGTTACGGGATTGTGGGATAGTTTTGCTGACGATGCCTTCATTCGCGACCCTGAGAGTGGCATCTATTTTGACCCAGAGAAACTACATGTTCTCAACCACTCGGGTGATGATTTAAAGGTGCGCGGCCCGCTTAATATTGCGCGTCCAGTACAAGGATGGCCTGTGATCGTCCAGGCTGGTCAATCTGAGCCAGGAAGGCAACTCGCGGCAGAGACAGCGGAAGTTGTGTTCTGCTCACCGCGAGACCTGGACTCTGCAAAGGCGTTGTATGCGGATATCAAGGGGCGGGCAACTGCTGCTGGTAGGAGCCGTGATCATATCAATATCCTTCCCGCTGCTCTGATTGTAATCGGTGACTCAATCGACGATGCCAAAGCAAAGCGACTCAAGTTGGACAGCTTGGTACATTATGACAGCGCTATTGCATCGCTATCCGTGGCCCTTGGAGCCGATGCCTCTGGCTTTGATCCGGATGGTCCACTGCCAGAAGATATTCCTGACACGAATGCGAGCAAAACAAGCCGTGCTGGAGTGATTAAGCTTGCTCAAGACGAAGGCTTGACGGTGCGTCAACTTGCCGGGCGCTACGGAGGGTACTCGGGGCTGGCATTTGTGGGGACTCCGGAGACAGTTGCAGACGAGCTTGGTACCTGGATCGCCGAAGAGGGTGCTGATGGATTTACGGTTGTATTTCCCTTCCTTCCACAGGGCCTCGACGATGTGACCCAGAGACTCGTCCCGGAACTCCAGCGGCGGGGCCTCTTCCGTCAGGACTATGAAGGTACGACTTTGAGGGAACACCTAGGACTACCTCGACCGACGAATAAGTTTTTTGAGGCGTAGTTATTTTATTCAAAGCTCACTGTAGCCTGGGAATACAAATCTTCGTCTCCTTTCCGTGTTGACATAGCTTTTGATAGAAGTAGCTCCATCTCTGTGGATGTAACACCAGTTGTGAGACGATTAGGCTTTGCGAACCGTAAAAGGCCTTCTTGTGCCACTTACATCTACAATTCCTGAACGGGAGTCACCCTTGAAGAGAAAATATTCATACCAAGAGGAATCTCGGTTCATTGGTATCAGTGTACTACTTCAATTACTATCACACCAGATCACCCTATTTCACACCACATTTTCATTGGATTTACCACACAAGACCCTTGACCTGCTGGATGTTCTTGACATTGATGCTCCTCCACATAAGCACTGAAGCAAGTGTGATGGTGTACAGAGAGGTCGCAGCAATCAGCATGAGCTTCTGGGTCTCGCCGTAGGCGTGGTTGATGCCGTCGCGCGTAGGAGATCCGATCGGGTAAGAGGACTGGACCGTCAGGTCACCATAGATGCTGGCGAAATCAGCCTGGGCATCAGCCGGTAGGTACTTCATGAGCTTGTTGGGGAAGATGCCCGTCCACATAGCAGCAGCGATGGCATAACCGATGGCGCCGCCAACGCTGGCGATCATGCTTTCCATGGCCAAGACAGCGGGAATGTTCTGGTGGGAGGAGACGGCCATGACGGTCATCTGCTCACAGATAACCAAGACACCACCACCGAAAGCCACGAAGATCTGGCACATGACGATGTAGCCGATATCCTGGTCGGGCTGACGGAAGTGGATCATAAGACCAACACCCAGAGCGGTCAGTGGCACACCGAAGTACAGAGCCAGCCACTTCAGTCGACCATTGAAGCGAATGATCACTCCCATAATAAGCGAGCAGGTGCAGGCTCCGACTGTGTAGATGTTGCTGATGTAGCTTGCGTGCGTAACACTTTGGTTGAACACCACAATGAGGAAGGAGTAGAAGTATGTATCCCAGATGTACCAGGCGCAGTAAATGCTTGCCACCATGGTATAGGTGAAGAACACAGTTCTGTCAGTCATCAAATGCCACGGAATGAAGGTGACAGGGGCGAGGTATTTCTCCCAGAGGGCGAAGGCAATAACAAGCAAGCCACCGAAGATGAAGAAGCAGATGATCAAAGGAGACTTCCAGGTGTCCTTCTGGTAGGAGTAGAGAGAGAACGCCAGCAGGAATAGAGCGAGACCAGTGGCGGCCAGCAGGAGTCCGATGACATCGAATTCCTTGAAGTAATACACAATCGACTCCTTCCAGTTTCGGTTGGATGTTGGCTTCTCTGGCACCAAACCCTGTTTCTCGGCTTTCTTCTGGTTATAGTAGAACAATGCGAAGAGGGGCACGGTAACGACTGGGTAGACGATAGCCCAGACACCAAGACCCCATCTAAATCCCACACCATCGAGAGCGCTCTGTGCTGCGGGACCATAAGCCCAGACAGTAGCAATCCATGGCGATCCAGCAAAGGCAATCATGAACGCTCGACTCTTCAGAGATGATGTGTCGGCAATGAAGATGGTTGTTGTGAAGTCGATACAACTGTAGCCGGTGCTGTAAAAGACTTGAGCGGCGGCGTAAGTCTTCACATTGTTGCAGCCAGCCATCATGATCAAGCCAGTTGTCATGACAATGATCATGAATCCAAATGCCTGAGGACGGCCCCAGATGTTCATGAGTTTTGCATAAGGAAGCTTAATCAGACCAGACACAAGGGAGGCAACGATGCTTGTCGTGGCAGTGAGAGAGTGAGCCTGGAAGTTGCTAGTGACGTAAGGTGTCAAAGTGCCGATGATTCCAGATGAGAAGGCTTGAATGAAGCAGACCAGCCAGATTCTGAGAGTTGTTAGTGGCTTGCACACCCAGACAATCTTGGCAGCAAATGGCATAGTAGTATTTACTTACAAAATGTACGCCACGATCAAATGCTTTTTGGTCCAGACCTGGGCCAGAGCCCGAGCAGCCGCGACACCATGCTCGTAGTCTGAAAGGGACTCCTCGCCTTCAGAGTCATGAGCCTTGTTGTCAACGGCGGTCTTCTCCTTAGAGTCGTCAATGGGCGTCTCTGCGTCCTGTTGAGGGGTTGTCTCGTCGACGACGGGAGCGTCCTTTGGACCCCTGACAGGGAATCGGAACCTCATGGCTACAAGTGACGATTTGAGCACAGATCGGGTTGAGGATCGACAACAGCAGGGTTATCTCAATGCTTGCTAAGGTGCAGTGAGAAAGGGACGGGAGACGAGGGATGCAGACAGAGGAGAGGAGGGGATCTTAAATCTCATCTGCATGGGACCCTCACACTGGATCCTGCCTGCATGGTAACCGAAATGCACCGAAGTCTGCGGGATTTCACAGAACAAGCAGAGGCCATCTACCCTGTGACACGCCGCTCCTCCGGTCTAGGCCCGAGGTGTGCGTGATCTTGGCCCCCCGGTCGCCGGCCCAGGCTCCGTGAAAATTTCTGGTTCATTGAATTTCAAAATCTTGGACAGGGGCTGGGGTATTGCGGAGCTCTACTTCTGGATCCCTCGTTGTTGTATCCAATTGCACGCACAGTCTTGGCTTTCAACAGCGGGTGCTTGGCTCTAAGGGGTAAAGCTTACATCTTATCTGATCATATCTGATCATCAGATACCGCCAATCGCGGGCCACGGTGGTGGGCACCTGGTCTATCCATTACCTTATGGCGGTACGCGTCAAAGCCAGTCTTGGCCGATCTGGGTAAGCCGCCGAAATGTCGCTTCAATGGTCATTCCACTGATGCAGAGTTTTCCATCTAATCAATCGCGACATTGTCCGCTTGACTCGGAGCTATGTGCTCGCAACCCCACACACCTTCCTGCAGGAAATTTGAACCCTTACATGGATCCATACCCATGGAAACCATTTCCGATTCTTACCAAGGATCGTCGACATCGCAGGACTAGCGACTCAAGCGTTGCCTCGAGACTGAGCTTGACTGAACTTGATCCGATGTTCGCTTCGCGAGCTTGTGGAGCTGTGCTTTCCCGCGATACTTCCCGTGGCTCGCGACTCTTTCTCGATCGTGAAATCAAGATTTCAGTGAGCTGTTGAATACCATCCTCAAATTTGGCTGGAATGAAGTCTGTGTACTAAGCCCTGAGGCGTTTCTGTGGCGCTCACATATGTCGGCAATTCTCATCGTGCAGACGCTATCTTGCACTGATAGCTTAGCACCCAATGAAAGCATTGGCGAAGCTCAATTGCCGCCCCGGGTAACGCCATTGGTTTCCCATGATCTAGAAGACTTGGCGGGTGGCAGTCCCGCTACTTCGCCCGTAAACCACGCCAAATCCACTGCACAGCTTTAATCTCGATGCCCTGACCTACTCCATCACATCTTGATCTACGAATCGCCATTCTTCCTCGTGACTGTTGCGTAGACAATAATAAGGATCACGATGGGCTGTTTAGTCATGTCATGGTAAGAACTGCCGGTGGCAAAAGGAGGTTACGCCACATACACAATTGCGACGTGTGGCAACGTAGGTCACACATTGACGAAGCTGATTGAGCAAGGGAATAAGACGAAATGATCCAAGATTAGATAATTGACTGATCTTAGTGTCGGATCATGGTACAGCTGTCATGCCCAGACCTCTTCCAGGCTGAGCTAGCTCTCTTGACAATGAGCTTTGCTTAATGTACGCACTCAATTGCTGAAAAAACGCACGTTATACCGTTTCCAGTAACGATCATCGAATCCCCACTATAGCCTGCAGGAGATCTATGCTAGCGTTTAGACAGTATATAATGGTATAATCGGATGTGTCAACGTAGGCTATATATAAACAGACAGAATTGAGGCTATTTAGGATTATAATTTATATTTTATTTAATAATAATAAGGTATAGATAGTATAGATGATGGTTATAATAGCTATTATATTTATCTAAATATTATCGATATATTTTATAGAAAGTTTTTATATTAATCTTCTTAAAACTTTACTATAAGCTTTTATATATATATTTTATATTATAAAAGTATAGATGATAGTTAAGATAATAGTAAAAGCGAAGGCGAATATAAGGCTATTAACAGTTATAGTTATTATAATATTATATTAACTAATTAAGTAAATATTTGTTTAAATTGCTTATTTAATAGCTATTATAATTATTATTACTTCTTTTTAAGTAATATTATTATTATATTTATCTTTTCTAATATTATAGTAAGTATTAGCTTTCGTTTTTTTTAAGGCTTATTATAAGAATAATCTTATTATATAGAAATACTTTCTTATAATATTAAGACTATTTAAATAGTTATTAGCTATATATCGTTAAAATGATGCTTTTTATAGCTTAAAAAAGTATAAAGATCTTATTTAAGGAAGGTCTTAAATTCTAGCTTTTCTTAAAGGAATTTTTATAACTAAAGTATACGTTTGTTAGTAAAGAATTATTATATTTGATACTAAAGATATTATCTTTATTAGATTTAACTATTAATATCTATCAATCTTTTTAAAGCTAATTATCTAATTTATAAGTTTTAAATTATATAGCTAATGTCAATAAGGTAGGCTATATTATGTCTAAAAGGTGTTTAAGTAGTATTATAAGTATAAGATAATCTTCTTAAGTATTTTTATAGCTAACTTATATTGATGGTAGAGAATCGCTATTGTTAAGTGGCTAATATACTTTTATATATAACGATCCTTCCTATTAGTACGTCGATAGATAACTAAGGGTCCTTAGGTTTATATCCTAAGATAGGTCGAAGAATACTTAAGCAATATTCACAAAGGTAGGTGATCATGACTGGTTAGATCCTATTGATTATAAAATCAAACTATAATATAATCAAACTATAATATTAAAAGCTAAAGAGTTAGTCTTTTTATCTTTAGGCTTATAGTCATAAGTATAATCTTATATAAAGCTATACTTTGCTAAATCATTAGAATCCTTCATAATCTATAGATGATAGCTTACTATAACTTACCATAATCTAGAATATCTAGCTTATAAATAACCTTTATCTTATCTCTATATGATATCTCTTCTATCCCTTATGTCTACCATAGGGTTTCTAACGATAGCCTATTTTCTAGCCATAATATAATATCCTTCCTTTAAGGTCGATATCCTAGAGACTTAGTTAAATACCTAGACACTATCTATCTAATAGATTTTAAAACTATATTCCTTACTCTTCTAAAATACTAACATTATATTAGGTTATATAAAAAAATCAAAATCAAAATTAAAGAAATCTTTAGCTTAACTTACCCTTACTATCGATATTAAATTTTCTAAAAATCTAACTAAAATATTTTATACTTATTATTTTAAGTAAAATCTTACTTACTATATAGTAAGTAACTCCTCTTATTATTCTAAGTATATCTATTTAGATTATTCTTATAATAACATTTTTATAGCCTCTATCCTTATATAATTAGCCTTTTAACAAAAGAAAATTAAATAAAAAGAAGTAGATATTAAAGAAGTACTCTTTACTCTTTAAATATAATTATCTATAGTTATCAACTATCTAGCCTACTTATACTATATAAAGAAGATAGTATTTAAGAAATATTCTAAAGCTTTTCGAAGGAAGATATAAAAGTTAGACAAAGAAGATAGAATAACTTCTTCTATCTTTACTTAAGAGTAGTTTATAATAAACAATCTTTATTTATTAAATATTTTAAATAATATAAACTAATCTTCTTTAAGCTTAGATAGTAAGTTTACCTTTATAAGTTTATTGATAGAAGATTCTAGTAGAATTAAGCAATCAAATTAAAATAATTCTATAAATATTTAAGAAGTTTCTATATATTTTCTAAATCGTTATAATCTTATTATTTAACTAAATATTATATTTATTATCCTTTCTTTTATAAGTCTAATATTCTTTTCACTTTATATTCTTAATTTAATTCTACTTTAATGTTTATTTAAAGTTTTATCGATTTATATATTAATTTTAAAAGTAAAATATAAAAAATAGAATATATTCTTATAGTTTTAGATAATAATAGTTTATAGTTAGATTTTGATATTTTTCGTTTGATTTTAAATAATCTAAGTTTTTTATAGTCTAATTTATTATTTGATTATTTTATTTTTATGTTTTATTATATAAAATAGACTTTATCTTTCTTTTTAAAAGATAGTTCTTTTATTCTTTAAAGGTTATAATACTTTGACATTTATTCTTTAATAAATATTAACTAGTTCTTTATTTCCTAGTGAAGTTATTAAAGCTATTCTACTATAAGTATTACTTTTTCTGATTTTGATTTTATTTTGATTAGATAGTTAAGTTTTAAGTTAAATTTATAGTTTATATAAAATGATAATATTCTTATTAACTTACTAATTAATATATTATAACTAAATTAAGCTATTGATAATAATATAATCTAATTATTTTGTTTATAATTAATATAATATCAAAGATACTATTTGATAGTCTGATTCAATCTTTCTATTTGTTTATTAGTCTTAAGATATTAAGCTATAGATAGCTTATAGTTTATTTTAAGTTATATTATAAATGATTGTTAGAATTTTGATATAAATAACTTATCTTAATCTAAAATTATTTCTTTTAATAATCTATAATTAACTATAACTATTTATAAGAATATGTATGCTAGTTTTTTAGTATTACTTTCTTCTTTATATAAAATAAAGTATATATACTTTATAAGTCTATCGACAATTATAAAAATACTATCATATTTAACCTTTATTAATAATTCTTTTAATAATAAAAGCTTTATTATAAAGTCTTATAAGATTGACTTTTATAATTATTATATAATTGATAAAGATTATAATTCTTTATATAGTTTATATTTACTATTTTTATTCTATTTATAAACATTATATTTATCTAATATTTTTTTAACTTTATTTTTTATATATAGAAAGTTATATTTTCTTTATATTCGTTTAAAAGTCTTTATTATTTTTATATATTTAAATTCTATTAACTTATAGTATAATTTAATAAATTCTTCTTATAATTCTAATAATATATATATTTTTCCTTTATACTTATATTATTCTTATTCTATATTACTAGTTTATATTAGTTTTAAGAAAACTTATATATTATATTCATACTTTAATAGTCTATATACTTCTTTAAGTTTCTTTTTCTAAGTATCATCTAATTTTATTTTTAAGAGTATATTGATTTATCTTTCTATTTATATTAAAGTTCTATCTAGATTTATCCTTAAGATCGTTTATATTTCTTTTAATATTTCTTAATAATAGTTTATTCGTTAGCTTAAAGTATTTACTCTACCATTTTCTGATCCTTTTTGGTAGATAATTTGAAAGTTAAATTTTGATAATTCTTCTATCTATTTTATTTATCTTTTGTTAAGTTCTTTTATAATTATAAAGTAGGTAAAGTTCTTATAATTAGTATAAATAAATACTTTATAAGAAGTTTTAAATAGATACTATCTTTATTCTCTAAATACTTTAACTATAGCTATCAACTTTTTATTATAAATCTAATAATTTAGTTTTAAATTATATAATTTCTTTAAAAAAAATATTATAAAATATAATCAATATTTATTATCTCTTTATTTTAACTATCTTTTAAGTATAAAATCTAAGAT